GCCACGGCTAACATCAGTGGCGAGTAATGCTTTAACTTATCTTAGTACCACACCCTTTAACAAACCTGTACTTACCACCTCCAATGAAAACAGTTTGCCATGCACGGTGCGAAAGAAGTTCAACATACAGACTTCACCAGCCTAGTTAAGTTTGGTCAAGCAACCTCCATGACCACAAGACACGGGATTGGGGACATCCAGTAATTTATTTTCTGTGACTTGTAATTGCATTCTATAACTTCCATGTTTACTATTGTTTAACCCAGGTCTCCCATGAATCAGTGAGTTTTGATCTCCATGAGCTCTCAACTGGCTTTAAATGAAGTGTATAGCTAACGTAAAAATATATAATCTTATTGCAATTAGGTTCAGGGCAATCTGATACAGACAGTGATGTGGCAAGTGGAGGGGATAAGTGCTCTCTATTCCAATGTAATGCATTTGCTGAATTTAAGTGTAAACAGTAGCTTATGCCGTGTATTTTGGTCCAACACATATCATAAGATGGGACGCTGGCCAGTGGTTGAGACTAACAACGGAGTTGCAGCCAGAGGGGAGAAACGAGCTCGCCAGGACAATCCCCGTAGTGATGGCGCGGTGAATTTGGTGTGCCACGGTGGCGAGATGTTAACTCCCTCGCCTGGTATGCAGGAGGTCGTGGGTTTGATCCTGACCCTGACGCCTGCTGTACATTTGCAGTTTGTGTGTCTCCCCGTGCTGACGTGGATTTTTCTCCGGGTCCTTCGGTTGTTCCCTCCACATTTAGAAACGTGCGTTTAGAGTTCGTGGCTGCTATACATTCCCACGTGACCAGCCACTTCATTGAGCTATCATTTGTGGCCAGGTCGCTTCTGAAAAATAGCTATATAGCTTAAGTGGGCCTTACCTGGTCAAATAAAAATAAAAATGTAAAACTAGTTTAAATAGAGCGACATCTTGGGCAGGCCCTTCATCCAGCAGAAATCATGGCTGATTAATGATTATGCGAGTTCTATAAAATCCCAAAGAGCGGCCACTCCTGCTCTTTGCCTTTGAACAACCGCCCGTCGTTGCGTCGTAAAGACCGCGGCGCTGGCTGTTTGTGCCGGCAAAGCGCACCTCCTCCTGACGATCCAGGACTCCCGAGCCTCGTCAAAATGCCCTTTCCCAATTAAACCGCGGCTTCCGGTACGTGATCTCGCAACGCGAACAGCAACTGCGGGGTCATCGCGGCTGCATAACTGCGCCCAGTGGGAGTGCGGGAGAAGCCGCTGCCAAGACTGCCCACTGCACACGGGGCTCGCTGGCAAAACTGATTTCAGTTAAAAACAAACAGTGGTTTTATAATAAAATCTGCCGTGTCGCTGGAGTTGAAGTTTCTAGCCAATCGTGTTCATAAAAGTGGCCTCGAGTTTCGAAAAATGTACCAAGGCATCACGCAACGGCCGTAGAATAGTCGCGCCACTGTGTGCCAACGCACATCGATGTTAAATCCCTTTGACAGGGAATGCCAACCATTTGCTTCGGGTGTTTAATTCGCTTGGTCCGGGGTATAGCCGAGCGCTCATGCGCTCGCAAGTGTTGTCAATGTAACGGTTCAAAAGTGCCCCAGGCGATGTTCCGCCTGCGCGCTGACATGTTGTTCAGGCTAAAGCAGAAATATCTTGAGTTAATGCTAACAAACGTCCGTTTCCACACGAGCCGCTGCGGGGGCGGCAGCTGTACAAATACGGGGTTTAAAGAAAACAAAGGAACGCAGACAGCGATTAAAAATTGAGACTCGGTGAAAGAAAACGCGGCATCGGTGACGCGGCCGTAATGCTTCAGTCCGTCAAAGATCGCTCAGCAAATCGGTGGAATAACGGGAGTGGCCCCAAGATTCACACGTGTCGTATTTATTACTCTACGACGTGGGTTTTTTGCTTTTATTTTTTTTATCTACGTGACTTTACCGAAAGAACCAGAGAATGTATTACTCTAATGGAGCTACGCGTCTCATTTGTCAGCACTGAGTACCCAATGAAACGAGGAAATGAATCAAGCAAAAGCAGCTTCTGATGACGATGACTTGAACTGAGCTGGTCTCTGGGCTGGGCTCCACGCCTCAGGGTCGCTGTGTTCGGGCAAGTGAAAATTGCGCGCGTTATAAATTACCATTGTTATTGTTGTTGCTGTAAGGCGTAAGTCCATCTCTACATACGCAAAAAATGTAAATAAAAACAAATTAACTGTGACAAGTGACGTCATCACATCTATCCCTCTATTTCAGGAACGAAACAAGAGGATTTCTCCACAAATCTGGCTGTCTGCCTGATGAAGCTAGATGTAATTACTGGCGAAACGTCGTACTCGAATTGTAAATGTTGTGGGTTGGCTCTCCAACACAGCGTTCTGCTGTACTAGTGACGATTTGGCACCTTCTGTTTACGTGACAACCCTTACTAGTTAGCTGTGTCAGGTGGTGGCGGATTTAACGACACATTTATATTTACGCGATCTAAACAAAAACTCAAAATAAAAAACCCTACATTATGGACGATATTGGTCGCGAGAGCCTACGTGTTAAACTGACAAATTAACTATAGTATTGGCTTTATGGGCAAATAACTTACAGTTATAGGTGTCTATTTAATGTTTGAACATCTTAACACCTCGAGGAAAGGGTAAAGCCGATTCATTTTTTCATCATCTTGATCCTGCCAAAAAAGGTCCCAAAGATTATACAGCAGCATGTTTGATCAGAAAGCTCTGGATTGCTTTAGACGTTTTAGATCCCATCAGCACTCAGGCCTGCGAAACAATTGGCACTATCGCAGTTATCAAGTGCACAACAGTGAACGGAGTTGTTAGTGCAATGCTGTTGTTTAGGCCCCATAGCTTAAGTGGAGTACTCTTGCCAATAGCAACAGAAATATTTCTTTTAACGAGATTTACTCTCCTGATGAGACCCAGGCGGCAGAAACCAGTCTATAGTTTGTCAGTTTTAACAAATGCTGCCGTTAAACAGTGGTTCTCGAGGCTGATATGCCGACGAATAGCACAAATATTAAATATGATGTGGAAATAACATTTCCCCATGTTTATTTAGGTATTTGTTATCCACGACCCCCCCCCCCCCTCACCCACACACACACGCACAATATCGTGCAATGACAGATATCATTAAAAAGTGTGTTTACGTGGCTATAAATGTTTTTAGCGAGCTAAATCACTGCCGGCGTGAGACGCGTGTGTGTGAAAATCAAATCAGGCACTTTAACTTAACGACGAAACAATGCGATCGAATTGGCGGACGAACATTTGAGAGAGGCATTGGGCCAGTCTGCAGCATGATGGGATAATGCCATTGAGTTTCAGCCTCATGCGGACTCGTCAGTGAGCCACACTGACGAGCATTACGGTGGACGATGAAAATGAACTTACTTGCACAATACATCCAGCAGCATTGGTAAGCACGGGCCCTAACTGAACGTGTCTATGGGCAGATGCATGCTTTGATACTTCACGCAATTTTATACTAAAGCCAAAAAGGCGCCTGTGCATCAAGATTTTCTCCTGAAGTATATCGCCGTTTCACACACACAAAAAAACGCACACACACGGCAGTTTTCAACACATTTATTGCATAATTTTCTCTGATGGTCCGTGCCTGGCGATTCCTTTTGTAGGCGGAGCCTACGAAGGCATGCGTGGACATGCACAGATCTCCCGCACCTGACGTACAACGGACCGTTGCAGCAAGCGCCGTCAGTGGCAGTGTCGCCACCGCCACCACGGCCGAGTTGCCATTTGTCTCCCTAGGGCTAACGAGCACGGATCTTGTCCAGCTTCTCGTTGACCTCGGGGAGGCCCCGGATGTGTTCAGACACTCACCACCGTGCGTGCCATCGCTCCACCGCACCACGCACACGAACAAGCAAGCGGCTGTAATAGATTGTTCATAACAGGTCACGATAAATTGGTCACGATGACGGAGCGATTCACTTCTTTTAAATTTGTACCGTCATACAACAGTAACCAACTATAATAGGCTAAAGTGGATTGTCGTTAGGGGGTGCCTGCCTTTAAACACATGCTCTCTCTTCATATCATTAATCATCTCTCCGTGTGAGTGTGTGTACACGAAAATGTATTTAAATAAAAGTAAAGCATTATGAAAGAGGCATGCGTTCGTATTATTGCCCGTGACCTTTTTATGTTCCAGGATTGTGCGCAATTGTGCAGGGGCGCACTCTGACGTGTCCATTGGGAGACTCCTCGTTCTATTGCCGTTTCATGCAAAGGACGTGCCCATCGGCATCCGTAAAAGCCCTCCGGAAGTCTGCTTTGTATAAAGCATCTCAGTGCCCTGAACGCAAGCGCCGCATGGCACACAACCCATTTTGTTATAGAGAGCAGATTTACGCACACACAGTGTTCAAAACCTCGCGCCCATCAATATCTGTCGGCCAGGATGGGAGTGACAGGCGAACACTCGCGTTCAGCAATGTTCTGCTGTTTCCGTTGGAAAGGGGCCAGAGGCAGGAGCTTCATGGCAAGAGGCGGGGATGTCTGAAGCACACACACACGCACGCATCACACAATGAGGCGACTCGAGAGTTAAGCAGGCAAGCGGTCATCCCCTAAACGTTTGCGTGGAACGCGCGGTAAGCTGCTTCAATAACGACGCGATTGCCAAATTAAATAACCACAAGCATCATTAAAGGTAAAAAAAAAATGTTTAAAAGGCAGCCCTGTAATTGCCTGCTGGCAGATGGGCCTCCGCTAGAGGGAGCTCTACAGAACCCTTCTAGAGTGCATTTGGCCTACTCTTCGACGCTGGGCGGACATCGCCGACCACAACAGACCGTCATGTTACCCGTTCATGCTGCCGGGTGGACAGAGGCCGTTTCAACTGCGGCACCGGGACATGAAGCCGGCAACCATCTGGGTAGCGAGTCCAGTGAGCGACCCATTGCGCCACACGACAGCCTCTCTGGCAACCGACACTTCGCGTCAAAGAATTTAGACTGCAATATTAGTTTCTCTTTCCCCGCAGGACATTTTCTTTGTTTTTTTTTTTACCACCACAAACACACAGAACCTTCGGGGTGCGGGGCGGCGCGGGGGAAATTACATCAAACCATTATCGGGAACATTCAGGTTGAAGCACACGTGTGACACGAGGAGAAGTTACGAGTCACAAAATCATCGCCGTTCCAAAGCCAACACGTTGGGTGAGCGCAAATGTTCAATCCGAAATTTCACACCACTTAAGACAGACTCCCCCCAACCCGCCCGCCCCCCGGCATATAAACATGGGCAGAGAACCCGTCCAGGCGAATTGTGGCGCTCGCAATCGCCCCGAGTCTGAACTCTCAAGCGTGTCGCGACAAACGACGGGGGAAAAAAACGTTGTCGTGAGCGCCGCTTCGTTCGATTTAAAATTGTGCTCTGGTCACACACGGGAATGCAAGTGGCCACGTGGCACCTCTGTCTGGCGCTTCCGTCTGTACGTGCCGACCGATCTCTCTCTGTCTCTCTCTCTTCTTTCTCTCACTCCTGTGACGGGTAGCAAGCGTCACGAAGCAGTTGAATTCCAATATCCAGTCGGCTCTCGATTATCCGCGCGTGGATTATCCGGGTCGTGAAAAAAAGTAAAGGAAATTCGAGAAATGTTGTGTACCCTTGCTCATCCGTGGCTTATTTTTTTTTGGGGGGGGGGGGGTAGCGCACGCTGCTGGCGATAATGTTGGCCGCTCCTCAATCATGACTCGGTGATCGGTTACTCTAAGAAAGAAAACGGATGTCGTTCAACGTCTCGACTCCGAGTTGAGTTGGTACACAATAATTACGGGTACCATGGCTTAATCTGCTGATGCTTTGTTTTTCGTGGTGTTTGCTTATCAGAAAATGTATTTCTACTTGAGGAATCCGATGAGCTGTGAAGCTCTTTTGCACACATCTGGGCCGTCTCTCCATCCGAGAAGCCCAGATAAGCGAGAGTGGACTGGACTGACGAATAGGGAGGAAAAACAAGAGCAATGTCAAGAAACTTAAGACATTTTTGTTTGAGAAAAATGCAATTTAAACGGTCTCGCAACGTGTAGGTGTGTTAAACAAAATCACGTGTTCAACCTTCACACGCGTGACACTCGATTCAACATTTGCTGTGACGTTCTTCGTCTCTGTAAGCTATTAATGTGACTGCGTGTCTAATGAATTGTAATTTCAGAAGGAATACAAAAAACACCGTTGTACACCGTCAAATAGAAGTATTGTTTTATAGTTCAAAGACATAACCATAATCCCGTTTTGAAACGGCCGCATTGCAAATGCTACGTCAAGTACACACACACACAATAACGGGGCAAGAGAAATACAAGCTGCGCGACGTCACAATAATCATGTCCCTGGACTAACAATGATGGAAGAGAGACGGTGCTTAACCGTGTAGCATGCTAGAAGCACCATCGTCTGTGAGAGAATCGAGACGCGACGTCTAAAACTGATAATCACGTGAAGATTTCTCCGTGTACACCATTGCAATCGGCAAAACCGCGACATCTGGCAATGGCATCGCAGACGCTACAAAAATAATGATCAAACTATCACTTATACACGCGTGTAATCTAATAACGACTATTGCTTTTACATTGTAATTGGGTGCGTTTAAATCAATTGTTGCCCATTAAAAAAGTGTCACTTAATTACGTCGCCCGCCAACACCTTATCTGCTCTTTTACCCGATATCCGCAAAGATTGCCAGGATGTGACTTCGCCGCGTGGCGGCTGAACCGAGCGTCGTCTGCAGCGTGAATTGCCTGCTCGCGGGTCGTATGATGCGATTCTGTCGGCGTGGAGTGCGGATACAGACAAAACTAAACTAAAAAGCGGGCCGCGTCTCCCGCAACCACCGTGCAAGAGCGACAACGTATCGTCGAAATACAAGTGATCAGGCGGCAGACCACACGTGCTGGCAAGGGGCTCAGCCGCCCTCCCCCTCCTCAAACCTATTCGCCGGCTCGAGGATTGTCAACCACGCCTGTGTTTGAATGCTCGAAAAGAACGCGAAGAGGCGTACCGCGCGAGGACGGTGACCGATAGCACTGCACGCGGTCGACAGATTTCATTGGTGAATCGGACAAGGGCCACGCGAGGTCACCACTTGCAGAGCACGTGGTCGACTGATCAGGGCGATGAACCGCGTGCCCTTACGCGTGTCAGTCGACACCATGCGCTCCGCTGCTGATCACGTTGCGCTCTCTTGATTTAAGACATTCGGAGAGATAACGTACACATTTTGCTTCTTTCACAAAACCCTTCCAGCACCGCCACGTATTTATTTTTCATTTCAAATATTTTTTTTTACTTTTTACCCGCCAGCTACGAGCTTATGAAAACCAGACGTCGTCCATAGCAGTCAGTATCAGGCAATGTCCTCAAATTCACCAGGTGTGGAACATTTAAATTGACCGCATCCAACTGTTAAAGCACAATCAGTGAGTCTCTATCAGCCAGACTGGAACAAAGTGCAATGATCGCCAGCATTTGGTCGTGTGTGGTGAGATCACTAAACATTTCCATTCAATGAAGATGGGGGAGATTAGGCAATGTCCTTTCAGCTCCATTACCAATGTGCTGCATGTCAAGCAGAATGCGGCACAAGCTGCCATTGTGTCTTACCAAAGCAAAGGACGAGACGGAGAGGAAAGCACACATCCTAATTTGCAGAAACGTTATTCCAAGCAGGGAGCAATTACCAATAATCTACACACGCGCACACACACACAGAGGTGAGGCTCCTCTTATAGCTTTGTGGACTGTTGGCAAGCACCTATCAAGACTGGCTGGGTGGCTTAAGAGATCAGAGAGCATTTAGCTGCAACCACTGAGATCCTGGGTTTGAATCCATAAAGTCACCTGTGATTAAACATGATCCTCTAGTTTAGTGAGTTTATTGGTTTCAGCCTGGTGACCAAGTTTAGTTTTGTACTTAATTTGGCGAAATTCCAGCTCAAGAAATTAAAACATTTCGTTTTGACTGTCATTCTCTGAACATTGCTCTCAGTGGCTGAACAAGGGCTGCCCCCTACTGTGCCAGCCAGAATTCACTCGAATGATTTCAGAGGTAGCTCTGTGGGATCTGCTTCTCTCTAACACGAAGGGTTTCACTGCTCTGTACATACTGTATACTGGATTGCACCGATAGCACACGCCCGGCCACCTACACTAGACCAAGTAGTTATTTAGCGGCTGAGTCAACCTAGAGGAGGCTCAGAACCAGATCAGACACCACTTGCCACTAATTTCAGCCAGTGGAAAGAAAGTCTAACTCAGGCCACTGGGTTCATCGCGCAGCGCGATACCCACTGCAATATCTCCACACACACGGCTGCGAATTCAACTCGGGAATAAATGGCGCTGTATTTAATGCACGTTAGGAAAAATCTAAAAAAAATCTTAAAACATTTTTTTTGCTGACCGCCTAATTACGCACAACTATTCCACCTCATGTTACACGGTCACTCTTGAGGCAGGGCAGCAAGGTGAAATACGAGGGAAACAATATATAAAGGGGCCTTTTCACGGAAAGAGGTCACTCAACACTCCACCAGGTGCCAGTGGAACATAGTGGGAAACAATTACATGCCAACACTCAACTCTACGACAATACGATATTACAAACAATAATTATACCCACAGTACGAAGGGATAATTGGGTTACATTACTTTCTTTTCCCCTTTCGGACTGCGCGTTCATCACACACCGGGCTCCATTTCCCGCAGCCAATCGCATCGACCGAAACTTGTCGACGACGCGGCCCTTTTACCTGTCCACCGCTGGATGATGGGCCCCTGCTCACGCCTGGTGGCTACGTGATCACACGTCACGACGTTGGTCAAGGCGGGTTGGTGAAGGCAGGCAGCACAGACGTGGACGCGATAGTACCATACAACAATGCATTTTTTTTTAATACTCTGCCCTCCACTGAATACTTGGCCCCACAGCGAGCCTGTGCTGGACGCCCATCCAAGCACGATCCACGCTCAACCCTACTTAGCTTCCACAGTCTGACGAGGTCGGGGCGAATTCCACTTGATTTGATGAAAGTTGAATCGTGGTGTGACACTAGATACATATGCGAAATATCACAGTCGACGCTTGGTTGCGTTTAGAACTGCACTGATTGCAAGTACCATAACAATTATATTTGAAAACCTACCCCTTAATGAAAGTCACACCTCTAATTGTAAGCTGTGTCTAAATCTATCACGGTGGCACCTTTACTCGACGCCACACAATTATTCGATTTCCCCAATGCCAATTAAGTGACTTATAAGCAAACCTGCCTTATTCAAAAGGGGCTTCATGAACCACTCAATTTACTCAACATAGCTTCACAACCATCATTATCATCCGTTTTATTTAAATAAGCACATTCCAAGTATAGCATATCTCAAAGGTCCACGCCACTGAAGTACCATACGTAATTGGGACAAACACGATGCAAACATTCACTTTTGAACAACCCTGAAAGCATCCAGCCTTTAACCGTAAAAGTCATCTGCTTGGCCACGTCCTTGTACGCAGATATTATGTCCGAAGGTCAAGATGCCCTTCTTCCCTTAACTTTCTCAAATACCGAATACCTCTGCTCAAAAAGCATCAATGAAAAGCAAAGTTTGAAAAATGCCATGCATCTTGAAAAAATGGAGAAGCCTTGTTCGGCGCTAAGAAAGCTCTTGGTTGTGGCGAACATCCTACTCGACGGGAACAGTGATGCGATTGTTCAAATGCTGGACATAGAGATGCGGTTCTGTCGGTTTGTAACGCCGCGTGAAAATATTTTAGCGCTGCGATCGTTAACAAACTTGGCCTTATGACTGAAAACATTTCAATGAGCTAACGTTTTTAGGGCAATTGGCTATTCCTGACTGTGGAGCACGGACCAAGATGGGGCAGAACATAGCCGGAGCCACCGTTTTCACGGTGCCGAGCCTGGCATACCCAACCCCCGGGGCGGCGTGCGTTTTGCAACCTGCGGCGCGTGCAACACCACTGCCCGCGCGGCCCTTCCGATTTTCGATTGCTGTTCGCCTACTTCCGAATCTCTGAACAGAAACACCCCCCCCCCCCGCCCCACCACGTGCAATAACAACGACGGTTAAGGAACATCGCGAACTTTACATACGAATACATCGGGCGAGGCGGCGGCGGCGGTGGCCGCAGAGCGAGCCGAGCGAACGCGCCAGCTAGCGCCCCGTCCGGGCCCCCACGTCGGCGGCGCCCTGCCGCCCCGTGCCCGGGTGGCGGCGCATGCGGCCACGCCCGCTGTCCTGCGGGTGCTTCCACTTGCCGGCCACCGACGCGCCGCGGAAGCGCGGCTTGGGCCTCTTGAGCCACAGCTGCTCGCACAGCTCCTCCACGCCTCCGTCCGGCAGCGGGCGCAGGTACGCGTCCTTGCGCGGCGCGGCGGGGAACGCGGGCGGCAGGGAGGGCGGGAGGCCTGCGGCGGCGGCGTTTGGGGGGCGGCGCCGGTCGTCGTCGGCCGCCCCCCGCGGGGGGCCCCGCGCGGCCGCCCCGTCGGCGCGGAGGCCCTCGCCGGGCACCACGTGCAGGGCGACGCGCGACACCTCGCGGCTGTAGGCGTTCTCGCGCGCGCGGCACCGGTACACGCCGGCGTCGCCGCGGTGGAGGTCGCGCACGAGCAGGCCCTGGGCCGTCTGCACGATGCGCTCGTCCGTTTTCAGCTGTGGGCGGTGGTGGAGTGGGGGGGGGGGGGGAGAAGTAGAGTTCGTGCCAAGAGAATTTGACGCAGGGAGTTAGGGAAGTGGGGTCGAGTGAAACAAATGTCACGGCGGGAGGGGATCAGTGGTGCCACGAGGAGGAAGCAAACCAAGTAATAGGGCCAGAAACGGTATTGGTTAATGGTGCAGTGGATGCACGGCTGATTTTTCATTCGTAGCGGCACAGCGTTTAGTTTTTGGCGAAAGGCAAAAGGTGCTCACCTCCTGTGGTGGGTCTTTTTTCGAGTGCTGCACATACCAAGAGAGGGCGGCAAGCCGGGACGGGGGCACGCACTCCAGGAAGGTGGCGTTGCCCTCCACCCCAAATAGAACCTTCTCCTCCGACTCCTCAAACTCGCCGCCTGCTGCAAAAAAACCACGCACGTCGCAAAATCACGCTGCTCCGTGGGTATCTAAGGTTATAGAGCACGCGGTTGACTACCCAACCATGGGTCGGTTTACTTGTGCAATGACGACCTTGACACGTTTGTTTTGAGATGGTTTCATTATCGTAGAGACACGTTCACTCGAACAGGCGGAGACCCCCACTGCAACAGCCCCGAGTCTCCCGCGCATCTCCCCCTTATAATAGGGTCCGAGGCCACGCCCACATTACCGAACCTTCTCGCTGGTTCTAGACGCTCGCTCCACCGGCAGACTCCACCATCCTCTTCCCTCACCTGGCCACGCTCCCTTCTCGATCATTCCCGTAGCCACCAGTCCCTTCGCACTGCAAGCTGACACCCCTGTCATTAACTCCCGTGGCCACTAGTCCACTCACACCGCAGTTTGACTCTACTGTCATTACACTTGCATTGCTCGATTTTTCAACACGAGCACACTCGCTGCATAAACCGCAAAGTGTTAAATTGCTTAGCAGCACAGCATATGGCCACCAGCGAACCTATGGATGTTCATGCAAAACGAGATTTGCATTCATATGGCGGTGCTTAAATAGCTCAGCAAACTCAAAGTGCCTCATATTTCATCTCTAACAATGGAAGGGCACCACCGCCCTCCAAGCGGCAGCTGTCCCTGTGTGGCACAAAGTGACTCGACATCTGCCTGCAAGTTTCGGGATTAGTCTTGCCAGTGTTTCTTTTTTCGTAACAAAAAAAAAATCCACATCCTCACTCACACATTGCAGCATTCTGACGTTCTGGCAGTAGTTCGTAGGGGCATTGACGGTAGGGGAGGAGCTGGCCGGTCATTGCCCTTCTGGGTTCAGGTGATGAAAGACTGGTCGAAGGTTCAGGTATTTAAGGCCGGTCTAAGGTTTAGGAAAGGACCCCGTGTTTAGTCTGCCAGCGTTGATTTATTTATTCCAGCGTGTGCGTCTTGCATACAGAGCCAGGCAGCAGGCTGCATCATTTGATGATGCATTTGATGATGCATTTGATGATGCATTTGATGATGCAGCCTCCTCAAGCTTGGCTCCGCAGATGGTTCTACCGAGTTTTAGCAAAAACTTAGCAAATTGGGACCGTGACGCCGGCACACAATGGCCTCCTCGTTTCGAATGACGTCATCGTTCCCTTTAACGATGACGTCATTCATCGTTAAAGATAACGATGAAGCTGACGGCGTGTATTTATGTTTGATGTAATAACCAGAGCGGCTTGCCGGATTTGAATCACGAACCTAGGTAACAAGCGGCGAACTCGCTACCGCTATGTTACTGCGAGTTTGAATCCGGCAGACCATCCTGGTTATCACCGCGGGTGTATTAACCTTCAAATATGCGCTTTCTGCTTCAGAGTGGACAATTAAGATCCCCTCGCATCATTAGAAAAAGAGTCGACCGTTATGGGCCAGTGTCAGGGTCCAAATTTGCCAAATTCGAAAAATCACCCACAAAATACTCAATTGGGATCACACACACACGCGGCAGCAGCAGCAGCAGCAGCACCAACATCGCCCCCTTCATGCGAAACCACTGAGGGCTGTTTCTGTGCAACACAGCGCCTCCGTGATGACAGCCTGTAGACCGTGAAGAATTGCGCGAACACCGAACGTACGACATTACTGCTCGATTACAAACGGTGGCAGTGGGGGGGGGGGGGGGGGGGCGCATGGGGAGGTGCGAGGTGGACACCCACCGTGCGTGTCCCAGCAGTGCGTGGTCGGGTCCCCGTGCCGCACATCCTGACGGCGAGCCCTGCGCAAACTGCAGCAACAACGACAGTTGACGGCCGCTATTCACCACTCTAACCCCTTTCCCCTTCCGAGATGTCTGAATCTCGGAACGCGCGAGTGGCTCAGACGTAAAATTTTAGTTAGAGAGGTGTAGTAGCGCCGTGGTTTTTAAAGACACTGTAATCATCGCAAAGAACAGTGGCGACACGACCTCACTCTATGACAGCTGGCGCCAAACTGTGCCACACGCCCTCCCTTTCTTCCGGTTTCGTTTGGATGATGTACACGTACGTCGTCGGAACAAAATCGGGAGAGAAACCAGTGTGTACGTCGTAACTTACACTTACGTCATCGGAACGGGAAAGTGATAAGGGGCGGTGACAGCATCGAGGTGCACTGCGCGTTTTGTAGCCACATACAGTGCACACATTTGGCCAGTGGTGTTGTAAGCGAGCAACTGCAGGGGCTGTTGCACCTTTTTTTTTACTTTATTTTAGGAGGGCATTTCCATCGCAGCTAGGCAACCAGAAGCAGCGGCCAAAGTCTCCGACGACTTTACAAAGCAACGAACCACTTGACGTCACGCAGACGAGCGAAAAACAACCCGCTCCGAAGACGTCGCCATCATTGGGGAACTTAACCAAATCCAGAGTGCCCCCGATAGCTGTGCATTTTTGAGTGGCTGCAGGAGAATATCAGTGCACGTTTAAGGCCCGTGTAAAAGCCCAATAAATGTTGGGTTTTTTTTGCTCTCCTATTTTTCACAAAACACGAACCGCTTGCACTTGTGTGCGGACTGTGCAGCGTTTATACTGTATTGCGGTTATGTGCAAGTTGTGTGCTTTTGCTCCATACCCGTGCCTCCCTTGGCGTTCAAATCAATGCACAATGGTTGCCATAATTGTACGTGATTCTGATTCTGTTACAGTTGTTGCGTGGACAACAGTGACATTGAACGAAAGCATTTTGTAAACATCCCATGTGCGGTTTGTTTGACGGCCAGACGGGCCACACAAGTGAGACAGTCAGGTGGTCAATGCCAGAGAAACAATGAGACAGCCAGAGAGAATAGGCATTTTTGACGGTAAGACGGACAGTATGAAAGACAGACCGCCAGGCAGAGGGTAAAACACCCAGAGAGCAAGGCAGCAAGACAGTCAGTTATTAAGGCATCCAGATAATCGTACAGGCAGCAAGACCTCTGGCCATGAAGGCAGTAAACAAGGCAGCAGTCGCGTAGTGACTCCATCATCAGCTCAGGGGGTGCGGTAATCGGTCAGGTGGATGCCCCAATATTTGATTTGAATTAAATTAAAATAAAACGTGGAATATAAATGAACGTATTTCATAATAAAATTAAAACGCATTTTAAATAAGTGTTTTGTTCTTTTACACTGTTGTTGTTGAAAACAAATCTCGTGGTGGTTGTCAAGGGGGCCCCAACTCGTAACTTTGGCCCCACGCTCGTTACGCTACTGCAAGACGGGCAGGCAGCAGTGCCTGTAGGCATAGTGGCAGGCTGGCAGACAGGCAGGCAGGCAGGGAGTAGGGCCTGTAGGCATAGTGGCATGCTGGCAGTTAGGCGGGCGGACGTGCGAGTGCCCGGCACACCTCTTGTTGGAGGGGAAGTATCGCGAGCAGGCGGTGCCGTCCCAGGCGCAGTACGGGTCGCGCGAGAGGCAGCACTCGGCGCACGCCTTCCCGTAGACGTGGCACCGCTGGAAGGAGAGCTGCACCAGCCCCTCCTGCAGGCCCACGAGCAACTGTTGCTGTAGTGAGAAAGAGAGAGAGATACGGCGCACGAGCGTGCAGTTAGAATTGTTTGCACGTAGTTGTGCATTAGGGGTGGAACAACGCCATCGATTCATTGACTCATTATCACTACGCTCCAGAACCCGGTTTAATCCCAGGCTGCTGTCTGGGTTTGATCCCAGGATTTATGTGGTGAAAGCTCAGCGCCCTGACTTTCTGAACCACGGGGCAACTTCAAATGTCAATTGTTGAAGCTCACGATGCATGTGTTGAACCACACGTGTAATGGTCAGAGGTTTCGATGCGTGTGTGTTTCGTGCGATGGGTTTACGTGACCATACCTGTCAACCCCTTATCAGTGCCCTACGTATTACAGGCCAATTCAGACCTTACTGGTCACCCCGTGCCCCTTATACATCTCAACGTTCGTCCTACAAAGTCCCATCGCAAATGTCTGTATGCCATATGGAGCTGAAAATTAAATTTCCCTGTACAAGAATACAGGTAAACCGTATGGGTTGACATGTATGTAGTAGTGTATATTAGTGTAGTGTATAGTAGTGTAATGTATAGTAGCGTACCTTTAAATCCCTTATCAGTGCCTACCTTATTACGACAGATCAATTCAGACCTTATTGGTCACCAGTGCCCTTATAAAAATCAATGTTCATCCTACAAAGTGCCATTGAAACAAAGTGCCCGTATTGAAACGGCTGTCCGCCGTGTGGAGTTAAAAACAAAATTTCCCTGTACAAGAACACGGGGATAGAACCGTGTGGGTTGACAGGGTACGCATGACTCCCACAGCCACTGGTGGCGACTCCCATTAACGGCGACGTTAGAAACGTGATTTAAATCCTCTATTGAATCGGGAACCTTTGAATCACGACAATTAATTGAAACCTTTAATGTGCGTGTACAGTAATTCAATCTTATGAAGTTTCATTCCATGAAATGAAGTGGCGAGCAAATTGAAGAGCATATTGCATGGAAAACGATGACTCCTACATCATACATTTAAACATATCCTATTTTGTTTATAATATCTTACCATTATTATTCCACTGCATACCAAATGTGTAACAGTAACTATGTTTTCTTCAGTATAAACCTTCATGATTGTCAACATTGGCTTTTTCTGCTCATATTCAGCTTAATTCATCAATTGCTGTATTTAAAATAGTTTAGATATCTCTCACGTTTTATATCAGTAGCAGGCGTGGGAGACATCCTGAACAGATCTTCCAAATGTTTGTTCCGAGTGATTTACGATCGTACCCAATCACACAAGAAGGCCTCATATATGTTTTGACATCATCGTGCGAAAACATTCTAACGGCGGATCAGCTAAACCGATGGATGCGAAGTGGCTCGCCCATCTCGACATTCGGGGATATTTTGGCGACGTGTTGACTGTGGCAGGAGGGTGAAACATTTCGGTAAAACCTCCTTGAACATGAGCCCATGAGATTTTCAAAAGACATAAGCGTGCGGATTCGTACATACGCCAGACCAAGCGTACAAGACCCCCCCCCCCCTCCCTACCCCCGGAGGATCTAAAATACTACAGAGCGCATATGCTACACGTTTTCTCTTCTTCTTCTTCTTCTTCCAAAGAACATAACCGCTGCTTAAAAGTGTAAAGAAGTATATGCTATTGTCATCTCAGTGGTTTAGTCGGTTTTTTGTTGTTGCCACAGCCAACTATGATCTGTAGAGTATACATATTTTTTCCATTACGTTTTATATACAATAATGATAAATCTTGGCGGTCTATTAGTCTGGCAACCCAGCGCAAGTTTTCGAAACAGTGCCCTCAATTAATGAGAAATAAACACGAAAACAATCACGGTATGTGAGTTGAGGCTCTGTTTCTTTCTTCTGCGCTTGTTTTTACCGAGCCGTTTTTTTTTCCCCCTACCTCGCTCGACCGCCGAATCCATCATATTTTCCCTTTGATTGCGTAAACAGATTCAGCGATGTTTAAAAAGTTGCCAAGAGCTGGGTTTTGGCAGCAGCGTTTGATTGCATGGGGAAAACACGTGTTAGGCCGAAACCGTGAAGCGACGCATGCCCCCCTTGCCGAACGTGAAACTTAGCGCAGTAACGTTCAGATCTCCTCGCGGTGCACACCCACGTCGTGAACAGCTCCAGGATACTAACGCCACGTTAATGGAGCGGATTCAAATTCAGATTGAGATCGCAGAGTGCGTGTGTTCCATTCCCACTCACGGCCAACACTCAGCGACGATTATCTGAACCGGTAATGGGCCTCCCCTAGGTCGACTCAGCCTCAAATGAGTACCTGACGCGATGTGTAAACATCGCCACGAGGGAGACAAAGGTGGTGGGGCGTGTTGCCGGTAACCCACCCCCCTCCTGTGCCTTACAGGCCTTCATAGGTGCTCGCTAACAGTCTGTCAAGCCTATATGGGGGATCTTCGTCTTTGCCTTGTATGCAAACTGTGTTGACTGCTTAGTACGTCAAGTTTGGATACGTTTAACAATCATCAGGCTTGTGCAGTGTGGAACGAGTTAATTTGTATTTGAATGGGAGTAAATTGATAAATACGGAGAGACGGAGTGTGGTGGCGGGGGCTGGCGAGGACTGGACTTTGCGAAACTCTGAAACCAGGACAATCGAACAGCACGGAGAGAGAGCGTGCCAATCGTTAATGACGTGAACGTTTCAATAACCGCACACTCAGTGCATGGCAGCGGAACGCGCCGTTACCCTTTTTGGAGATATCACCATGGACAGCACCGGAGAAGGCTCCTGTTGAGAAATGGAAGAAAATATTTTTTATAATTATTTTTAATGTTTCGAAAAGCGTCGTGCATGCAAAATTGCGTTTCACAACGCTGTACGAGAGAGCAAAGTAATACAATTAAGAAATACAAATTTTGCATTTCACAATTTCACAAGACATAGCACACCCAATTTAATGCTGCTGTGAACAATGTTTTAAATGAGATGCAAATACAGGAAAGGACATATTCATATACTAAATATACATAGCATTAATTCAGCATTCCTCACTGATGGAGCAACACCGTAGTCCTACTTTAGCCATGTAAGCCACACGGTTTATTTTTAGAAAAGGTTCTAAATCGGCACACGGTAAAAAAAAAAACCTCACCAATTTCGTGATTAACGCTGCCGTTAAACGTAAATATTAGCAATAGGCTGACGTTATGGGCAAGATCTATTCCTCGGGGATGTTTGGACAATTGGCCAATTCCTTAATGCAGGAGTTTTCCAATTCCATCATGATTGATTCCTTTATGGGGGCTTGCCAATACCTTAATGGCCAAATCCTTAACACAGACCGTGCCAATTCATTAAGAAGCTCTCCAATCCCTTCATGGCCGAGGCCGTTAACCAGGGGGGTTTCACTCGTTATACAGTCGATGGGCCCATGAGACCAGACCCCGCTCGGGTTGTGAGGTGCGGCTGTAGTGTGAGAGTCGTGGCAATGATTGTACCCAGCAAAGCCTCACTGAATCTCAAGGCTCTTTTTATTTTCAGGTGGGTTCCTCCGTTGGGTTGTCCTTCCACAATTATCGAGTGTTTGGTTTCACGTGGGACGCCCAGAGACAACCCCCGCACACGACGGGGGTGACATTCAGGACCGGAATCTCGCAGCCACCTCGCAGTCCCACGTCCGCAGCGAACGGAGCAGCGCTGTCGAGTCGCTCACCCCAGACCTCAACCAGGCTTTCATCGGCTTGGCCTCCGACAATGTCGGCGAGGCACGCTTAGTGGGGTGTCTGAGGATGACGACGCATCCTGCAAACGACGAAGCTGCTGCCCGGCTCGGCGAAACCCACACCACCACTTGGGGGGGGGGGGGGGCGGTGGCGGTGGTGCCCTTTGAATGCTCCGAGGTGGCCGTACGCCTGCGCTGCATGCCGTGCGCGAATTAGCGGTGCACAATGCACACGGCGCGTGCTCCAGTGTTGCCGTGAAACAGGCGAGGCAAAATAATAAACGGAGCCACTGCTCAGTAGGAGACGCGAGCTAACCCCAACATCCACTTGCACTTCAGTGAAAACGGAAATAAACGGCGATCAAGATTAAAACACAGACACGTGGCATTTGCGATCATTTTAAAGCCGGAAAATGTTTTTTTTTAATACTCGCTCTGGGATAGGCATTTTCATTTCTCGCTGTAAAGTAACAAGTATTCCATCGCCCTCACTCCTGGATAATGACCAAACGTAAGATTACAAACACGCGCCGTTTGCTAGGCGGTTAAATGTTATTATTTTGTGAACGATCCAGGAGCGTAGTCTGAAACTAAATACCCCCTGACACAGCAAGTGGTAAACATATGCAGACACATATATGTATAGGTGTATATATATAAACGAATGTTTTCACGATGGCTCAGAATTGGCATGAACCCAAGCCCTGGCATCGTTAAAGAAACCGCATGAACGTTGCTCTCTCCCATTAGAGTATCTGTCTTTAACTTGAAGACATTTCTCTAAATGCCACGAGTTATAAAAATAAAATAATATCGTCGTGTTTTTTCCCCTTCTCGTTCTTGTGTTGTTCTCCGTAATAATTGATCCTCGTTGGCAGAAGGCCTCGTGTAACCGGTGCTGGAAAAATGGTTCGAGTAAGAAGAGGCTTTTTTCCCCCCCCTTCGCCGACAGGAGGTCAAAGTGAAATTCCACGGAGCTGGCGAGACGGCACCAGTAGCCAGAACTTTCGCTATTAAAACCATTTTTGCTCAGAGTTGACAGTTCAGTTATATCCAGGAGCCTGGTAATTAAAAAAATAGTGCACCGTCTGTGTTCAAGTGGGATGCGTGGCTTTTGCCACGTGCTGTTTGGCAGAAGCCGTTTGGAAGCTCTCCCCGCAATGTGAAAGCGAAACTCAAGAATGCCAGGCGGGTAAAAAAAAACACGCGGTGCAAACAAGAAATCGCATCAGAAAGCTCTACAGCACAACCGCGGAAAGCTACCCAGTAATAACAATAATTATAATACCCAGAAGAAGTACTAATTATTTTAAACGATTATAAATTGTTGATTTGTGGATGCTGGATTCATAGCGCGAGTACCGCTTCTTTATTTTGTTACCTTCCACAAGAGTATTACACTTTTTGCTTTAAATGCCACGTCATAGGTTAAAGCTATTTATACGTGGAACTTTCACTTGAGCAGACGGTAAGTTTTCAAATTCTGAAAAGTCAATTCCACTTTGTACGCACATGGGGCACACCCTCAAACATGCCCCGCAAAGCGTGTTTGGCACGTGCCAATGAACCGCGCGTTTTTCGTTTTTAAGTCTAGAGTTGGAATATGAGCAAAATTAAGTGGGGGTGAAAAAGTGAATGTTAACAGACGTCATTGGTGACGAGGCTGAGGCCATCAGCTCACTACATTGGAGAACCAGGTGTAAGCATCGCAAGCAACCGCTCAGAGTTGCATGCGAGTTCTCAGCCATGTCCACGCGTTCATATTCTCACTCAATGTAATTCCCTGATAGCCACCTGGCCTCCCCCTTCTCAAATTGCAAAACGTCAATGACGGCCCCCACATAATGAGGAACATCCAGGCTTCTGCTGATAGCAAGATAATCTGAATCTCAATGGGCCCCCGTCTGGGTAGATGGCATGTCAGTGGTGGAGTGGATTCCGTGAGGAGGTGGAATGCAAGGAGTGGCGGATGGGTGGTGGGGGGGGGTTGAGAATGGGCAGGTCCAGCACAGACTCCGTTCACTGACGTTCTTCTCTCTACCAAGCGGCAGCACAGACCTTGGCGAGGCTCAACTCCTCAAGGATGACGTCCTCCATCGCCAGGTTCTTGGTAGGAATGGTGATCACCTTCAGGACGCTGCCCACACCTGCAATGCATTTTTTTAAATTATCATCACAATTACTGTAATCATGCGCTGACATTGTACAGCATGGAGAGAAACTATTGCCACCCAATTTTGATTTGAAACTTTCGTGACTGCAGGAATCCATACTCTTTGGTTCTTTTGGTAAAGTCACGTGGGTAGAAAAAATAATAGATCACGACGTTTCGATCGCCACACAAGCAATCGTCCACGTGTCTTTACCGAAAGAACCAAAGAGCATTACTACCCAGTATGCAGATATTGAGTTCACCCATGTGCAGCTGTGCGGTCGGAACGTGGGACAACATTGTACCCTGTACTGTGTGCGCTGCTCGGCAGGCTGCTGTCCTTTTGCGGCTTCGCTTTGTGCGCATTTTCTATTTTTTTGGAACGCATCCACCGCACAACGCGAGGGGGAAACCTTCATTGGGTGACGCGGCGCGTGACGCGATACGCCTGCGGCGCCGCGAAACGATGCTTTCAAAGACACCGAGCCGAAAGATGCAGTGGCTTCAGGCGAAACCACGTGGCCTTACTCCGGTGTTGTTTAATCATCCCGCGCGGCACTGCCTTTGGAGGAGAGTCATCACGTGATCAGCAGATGCTTTCCCCCCGTAATGTATTCCAGAAGAGGAAAAAAACTATTGCCGTGTGACTAGCGAACGATTTGTATCTGACAGGCGTCCGGCAGACCTTACGAAGGCGCTGCCCAATAAAAGTCCTTCTGATTAAACCTCGACTCTTCTTGGCGCCCGTACGCTATGAAAGGAATCCCGACACGGGAGAGCATGCTTCTTGTACTCTTCACCAACAGGAGTGATCACGGGCCAAATATGCGACGCATCTCTTCCAATAACTATTCAGTTACAAGTTGAAACAAACCTGCAAAACTATTCTAATAGTTTTCGACAACCGCTCGCCATCGCCTCTCCGTCCCCCTAACCCCCTGCAGCATAACAAAAGGCGGCTTAACTTAGCCCCCCCCCCACGGCCCTTCCTGGCTCCCCCCCCCCCTTAACCTGTGTATATAATCTCGGGTATCTTAGAGTTCTCTTTACTTGATACAGCAATTTTGCTGTGACCGTCTCCACCTGAAGACGGAAGCTTGGTGTTGCCTCCGAAACGTCGTGATTTAATTGAGTTGTTTTCATTTATTTTATTTTACCTACGTGACTTTACCGAAAAAAATCAAAGAGTGTGAACCCTTGCAGTCACGAAAGCTTCAAATCTAGAATATTGTAATAGTGTAATACGTGGAGCTAATGGAGCTCGGGGACCTTTAAACCTATTCACGAGCCTAAGCGTTCAAACACAGCGTGGTGCGGTGAAACCTCTCGGAGCCAGAACTCGTCGAGAGAGCGCGAAGTCACCGGGAGCAGAGCGCGCGGTGAGACCGACGCGATCGGTGAACCCGGGCAATTTAATTTACTTTTGGACAATTAACGTCCGAACACGAGAGAGCACGAGGTCACCACGAGCCTACGACGCGGTCGACTGATGAGCATACCGATCGGTGAACCCGTGTCCTTGGGCGTGTCAGTCTATACCATGCGTGCTGCTACTGATGACCTTGCACCCGTGGTTGTACGTACGTTGAACTTCTTTCGCACCGTGCGTAGCCAACCGTGCTAAATCCGTTGGCATGACGAGCATACCAAGTGGTGAACTCGTGTCCCTCCTGTGTCAAGTACTTTCACCCATCGTCAGAGATAATCACGCCAATCGAGTACCCACGGAAGCCTCGAGAGGCATCAGAGGCGCCGTCAGGAGGGTCCTGATATCGGGATATTTTGGACGGACGTTTTCTTTCCGCAGGTTTATTGTCATCAACGTCTTAATTAACCGGCGGGGGGGGGGGGGGGGTGGGGGAGCAGCAGCGCTGTGGTGAGCGCTCTCCGTTACATGAACCTGGCGAGTTAGAATCCTGCCCATGGCTAACAACAGCGGCGAGTGATGTCTGAATTAGTAAGAGTGATATTGAATTCTTAAGCAAGCTGCCACTTTACTAACCCGCACTGGGCCACAAATGTGAAATGTCATCCCGCAAGCCCCATTGATGACACAGCATGGGCAGCCCTTTGTCCTGAAATGAATTGGCGAAGGGGTTGTTAAGTGGTATTAATAAGCAATACAAGTTGCCCGATCACACAAGAGGAACTCATCTTTCAATGCCCCCGAATGAGCTACAGAACAGCCCCATGTAAGCGGGAAAAGTTAATGAATAAATGTCCGTTCCACTCACAGTCACGCGCCTCTCGCATGCCAGCGCTAAGAGGGGTTCCACTGGCGCACGTGTTTCCAGTAACGCGTTGGGAGTCTGCCTCGTCGAAGAGAGGAATTCAAGAACGAGGCCAACAAGGTTCTTGTGTTCACGTACGCTCGCTCGCGTCATGGCACCGCCCGGGCCGTGCAATTGGGGGGCTACCTTCCCCCCCCACCACCACCACACCTCACCACCCCGAGTGGCGGAACATGAGCGAGATGCTCAGCCGCTGCCTCTGTTACCTTGCGGGAGACAAAACAAGCGTCGACCCAGGGCAAAATGTTGTGCACCCATTCAATGGTCTTTGTCGCGTTCGCTTCGGCAAATGGCCAACGCTGTATAGCGATTTCCCATAATTTGTCCATTTCGCTCTTTGAAATGTATTTGGAGATCCGCCGTCGGACGAAGCCCTCCCCGTGACTGACACGTCGTTTAGAGCAGACCGTTTCACAAACGCCGAAATGAGTTGGTATGTGGTTCTTGAAATTACTCACCACTGCTTTTATGTAGCCGTAGCCAGGAATTAAACTCGGGTCGGCAGGTTCACAGTGCGGTGCGCTAACCGCGTATCTATTTATACATGCTGACTCGTCTGTTTGTGGAAAATTGCATGTAACTTTTCACCACCACCGTAATGTAATGAATTGTCACAATTCAGAGCCACAATTTCATTCTGTATATATATATTTTTTATCATCTCGTTCATGGTGTTCTACTTTGTGTTAACCGCCTTTGTTGTGTCTCGCTCGTTCTGCCTCCTTTATACTGCCTGTCCAATTTTGACTCGCTCCGTCTCTCTCGTTTGAATTTTTTACGTCGTTTGCTTCATTAGCCAACGTGCAACATCAACGCGAATTTTTTTTTTACTTTGATTCCTACGTCCACGATTCAACGACGTGCATTGTAAGCGTAAGAATCTATTTCACGCAATGAATTGCTACGTGCCTAGGGGTTGCGATTCCTCATCATGTGTTTTATAAGGGCACACGTGTGTACATGCACATCCTTATTGTCCGCGCGCTCCTAGATGAGCGCCTCGCCACGCCATGTGGGTCATGTCTGTTCGTGAAGAAACCTCACCACGGAGGTCAGTGCGGGTTTTGGTTGAGGTTGGAGAGCATTGACTGCGGGAACATAGCACAGTAACAATGATGGACTTTGCGGCGCTCTCCACAACGAAGACTTGCGGCAGCCTGTGACAATATTATTGATATCGATAACTCCGTTATTGATATTGTCGGGGTGATTCGCTCGAAGGGTGCGTGCACCAGCAAGGCGGCGTCGAGTGCCGCCCGACACACTCGCGCTCAGCGCCGGGCGCTCACGGGGGTGCTAGCGAGAACGAGCGCCGTGATGTTTTGGCGAACGGATGCCGTAACAGCGAGGCCGATTATGTGAAATTACGGAAACCACACGAGGTCCTGCACGGCTTTAAGTATCAAACGGCCTCCGTTGAATGCTAATGTTTTGATAGCTGTGCGGTCGCTGTTTTCAATAATGCTTTTCCTAATTAGTAACACGCCAACAAGGGTCGAGGTAATAATTGTGAAACAACAACAACAACGTTGCATCAGAAACGCTCGCTGCATTCGCCTTAGATCTGTATTTGTTGTTGTTGTTTTCTACCCTTTCCTGCTTCTCTTACGAGGTGTTCTTCTAGCTCAATATCAACGAGACACGAACACAGGTAAACCACAAGCCTTGTGCAATATGCACGAGAACCCTAAAGCGATAAGATAGTGGGTGGTTCAGTGGAGATTTTGCTTTGTGGGCAGGGGTCTATAAATGTATATATCGATATGTTCATTGTCTTTCAAAAGAAATGCATAATATTGTATATACATATCAGAATCAGAATATATTTTTTATACTGGAAAAATCCGATGTGCTATAAAGCTCTCTTTCACAGATGTCCAGTAAATATATACTTTCCCTCTTCGTTAGATCCTACTTTGTTGTACAGTGTGTTGAGATTGGTTTTAACTTATACGCGACATAAATCCACGATTCATTGTATCGTATCTCCAACAAAGTAATGGCAACTTGTAGTTTTGTAATAATGCCAGGTGTATGAGGCACGAAAAGCCTCGCCGCAAAAGGGAGCCTCAGCGAGCCTTCAAGGCTCTTTGTATCACGAAGGGGGTGGGGGGGGGCGTGTGCATTGGAATGTTTGGCCAGTTCTATTGAGAAGACATGAGGCGTGTGGGGGGGGGGTGGCTGGAGACAACCGTGAGTGGGGGGGAAGCCGAGAGAGAGAGAGGGTGGTGACAACTCAGCGCCACCAACTCCCCGCCGCTTGGCATTTGTGAAATAAATAAAAACACCGCCCCCCACCCCCCCCCCCTAAAAAACAGATGACGAAATAAAAATGGTTTTGTTCCAGGCAATGGCTCATCTTTACAGCGGATAGATCTCGTGTAGTGCCTGTAACGTAGCCGATGATGTAATAATGCTTCCTCTTTAGGGAATACTAGGGCACTTTACACATTTTGTTATTATTATTACTAAGCTAATCCCTCCACAAATTCCGAGATGGAGCGAATTTACGGCGATTTGGTCAAGGAGTTGCACAAAAGAGAAATACACAGATACAATTTGGATTGAAATAAACATAATATTTCTACAACTCCAGAGCCAAGTCCTGTTCTCTGGTTATTGTTCGTTTTTATTGTAGCACCCTGTGGGATGAGAGTGTTGGCATTCCTAACCTCCTCTGCCATTATCAAGCGCCTACTTCGCAGACACGAGGCAGGAGATGGGGCTGGTGCTTGCCCATTACTGTGGCGGTAATCTCGTTGATGTTTTAACGTCAGTGTCTCGGACACAACACAGATAACCATCTCTTAAAATGCAGCCTCTTACCTTAATTAAGAGCCTTCACTTTAACAAAAAAAAGTTTGAAAGAACATTTCAGAAAACTGGCAAAAACACGTTCTTTCGTGAAAAAAAAAACTCACTTCCAGGATGTTAGCAAACCCCGCAAACATTTACCACCCTGGGTTATTTGAGGCTGTGAGCTCCGCCGCCGCCGTGATGAATGAATTATTGTTGCAAACGAAATGTGTTTCAGATTGCAAGTGTGTGTTTTTTCTTCTCGCAATGTTTTCATTTCAAATTATTATACCTACGCCACCTCCGCGGGGCGGCGGGCAAGGAAGGGGGGGTGTTCGTGAGGGTTCCTAAAAGGGCGACCGAGCTGAACTGAAGTCCGCTCCGAGTGTGCGGCGCATCTTGCTCCAATTCTGCACGCTGCCCCCCCTGGGGTTTACAAGCGGTGTATTTCAACCCAGCGATGAGCGCATCCCCAGCTGATGATCCCAGAGCGTGGGGCTGTCCTTCAAAAGGGGGAGGAGGAGGGGGGGGTGGCGACATCGACTCAGCTGCCCGATTCCGACCCATGGCAATTACACCGCGGGGTGACTCCCTGCAACAGGAATGCCCCTCGGCGCGTGTGCCAATGTCATGGGCCAATTAGCAATTCCGTTCTCAAACCAAGGCTACACTGCGAAGCAATTTTAACACAATTGAGTTTTCGGGTATTTTTTTTCCATACTTTGGGAAAATTGCACTTTGGCACTTTGCGCACAAAGGCGAGTGACGTCACGCGGCCTTTGAAGTCCACTTTTCAGCAGACACAACGCATCGGTTATTTCCCCAAAACCAACCAAACCCCCCCCCTCAACCCCAATGGTTAGACTCTTATTAATTTGCCTTGCAGAATGTGCGTCAAACGTGGACGAGCGATGGAAAAGGAGCCACTGCGGAATTGTACGCCCGGCTTATTGTGAGTCAACATGCCAAGCTGAGCACAAGAGCCTATTTGTTTTTGTCGTTGTTGCAACTTCATGGAACATTTTTTTTAAACCCTTCCCCCTCCCCCTATTCTATTCCCTCCCCCCCCCCCCACTCTCCTACTTGGCTGCACAAAACACTCTCAAAACCGTCGGGCCCGCACGTTTGCACCGCAGACTTTCGGGCCGCTTTTATTTTTGACTGGCAACCCACGGGCCGCGGAATGAATCACTCGCCCACACTCCCAGCTGCACGCCCTACCGGGACTTTCGACTCACTTCGGCCGAAGCGAAAAAGAGGAGCGGAGCACCCCGGCCAATTTGGCAGCCACGTGCCCGACGGCGTCCCGCTTCGCTCGGGAGGCAACGGACGGCGGCGCGCTGATCCGGCAACTTCCCGTTCCCGAAATGATCTGTTAATCTGATGTGTTCCTTGAGCGAGCGAGCGAGCAAAACGCGCATTCGTCAAGGTTTGTTGTTGGTGGCGCAGAACCCCGAGGCCCACGTTTTCACCGGCATCGCCTTTTGTTTGGGTGTCCCGCCCGCGGAGAGGGCGTGTCCAAGGGGTGTTCTGCGAGGAGCGCGCATTGGCTGGGGGCCGCGCGAGGGACCCCGGGGGGCCGCGCCGGCTGCGCTAGGGACGCCAGTTCCGTGAAGCGGGCTCGCGGACAAACGCTTTACCCCGGTTACGGGCTTTGAGGGCGCTGTGTCGTTTGATGCAGGCGACATGTTATTTTATCATCACGCAATGGTGGCTCCGTGATACTTTGCCAACAGGCGACATCTATCGCAGCATCGTACCGTCAAGTAAATGGCTTGGCAACTTGGCCTACCATCAACCCTGTTGCCACGTAATGAACCTGCTGAGATTTCATTTCTGCCACTACATCGCCAGCCTGGGCTAGCCTAAAATAGCATTACTGCTAGCTAATATTCTTTCAACATAATTAACTTTGGTTTAACAACTGTCAACTAACTAATTTCAATTACATATATATTAAATATACATGTTGTCTGTAAAATCATATTTTCTAAATATAGAATTTACACCTCTCTGTCAATTTACTGCTGTGGTCGTTTGACCATGCTTCATCTACCGAGCGGATTTAACTCCATAGCTGATGTTGACTAAGCCCCCCAGATACTCACTGAAGGTTGAGTAAGCCTAGGGGAGTCTTTGGACCGGTTCAAATATCACTCGCCAATGGTGTGAGTCGAAGCTCACACGGAAGAATGCACACACACACAGCACAAGCACACAGATGGCATTATCGGAGCAAGGACACTTCTGGTAAAATGCCACTACTTACGCATGTAGCCCTAAAGACTGTCGCGGCAAGTGCTATGGACAAGCACCTAATAATTCTGGCATGGCACGGCATACGAGGGGCTCGGCATGGCTAGCACCACACAGAGCCCGGTCCAATATAATTCGACAATTGCGTTAACCGTGGCTGGGAATTTCATTCAGGTCATCGGGTTCTTTGTGCATTGCACGAATCACCCTCACCACCACCCACCATGACACAAACAAAGACAAAGATCCCTCGAATAGCCTTTACCAGACTTTTGGGGCAAGTGGTGTTAGCGGGCACTGATGAAGGCCGGCACGGCACACGAGGGGGTGGGTGGCCGGCACCACGGCCGGCCGGCCGCCTTTGTCTCCCCAGTGGCGATGTTTACACACCGCAACCAGGTACATGGGGTAGGCCCATGACCGATTCAGATAATCGTCACTGGTGTTGGCCGTGAGCGGGAATCGAACTCGGATCGTCAGGTTCATAGTGCAGTGTGCTAACCGCTAGACGACCGCTCCCCATAACACACACACTTACACTTACACACAGACACACACACTTACACACACTTACACACACACTTACACACACTTACACACACACTTACACACAGACAGACACACACACTTACACACACTTACACACAGACACACACACTTACACACACTTACACACAGACAGACACACACACTTACACACAGACAGACACACACACTTACACTTACCACACAGACAGACACACACACTTACACACACTTACACACAGACACACACACTTACACACACTTACACACAGACAGACACACACACTTACACACAGACAGACACACACTCAGACACACATGCCCAACCACGCAGTTGGCAAAATGGTAAAGAGGGCACATTAACAGCGTCATTCTGTCACGAATGCACGCGCAAACGCACGCAAACACAGCAGCACGGGCAATTGGGAGTCAAACTTCCAAACGTCCCGGTGTGGTTTGAGCGTTCAGAAAGGCCGTATCCAAAATTCGTAACAAAAAAAAAGGGTGATGTCGTTCAGGTTTTACGTTTCGTGGCCTCATGTTTGACTGATGACCTGGGCTACAGGCGAGGCTGCCCGAGTCGTGGGCACGGTTGACTGTGCAGGGCTGCACGTTGAATGGGCTTGGCCATTGTACAACTGGATGCGGCTGACAGTGTGTAGTTTCCAACTCGCTGTGTGTCCACCGTTGAGCCTCCCCGGAAAAGTTTCGTCAGCTTCACATTGTTTGTCGTTTTGTTTTCTTTCGGACACCGCAATTGGGTCCACGGTCACCGCCTCGCGTGTGGGCGATCATCTCAAGGGCCGCTTTGTTCTGCCACCCCGAGATGTCAGTGCACGGGAGGCGCGCTATGAATAACACGTGACGATGACCACGACGACGACGACGCGCGAGAGCGTGGCAAGGGGCAGTACGTACTGGTTCCCAGGAAGAGCACGTCATAGGGCCCGTCCTCGGCCTGCACGTGGTGCGCCACGATGCGCGTGAGCGCGTACTCGGCGGAGGTGAGCGTGAACACGGGGCGCCCCAGCGCCGGCGCCACCGCACGCGCCATCAGCGTGTGGCTCCGCGCGAAGTGCACCACCTCGTCGGGCAGCTCCCGCGTGCTCCGGAACGACGGGTCGTACGTGCGGCTTGGGCACTGCGCGCACGAGCAGCCAGGCACACGCGGGTGGGCGGGCGGGCGGGCGGCGGGGGCGGGCAGTCGAGCGTACGGCTCACGCGGAGTTGTTAAACGCCAAGCAAGGCTGCTACCCGGCAAACACAAATAAATCGTACTCTTTGGTTCTTTCGGTAAAGTCACGCAGTTAGAAATGAAATGAAATAAAATAAATCACGACGTTTCGATCGCAACACAAATAAAACAAATCACGAGCGGTGTTGCAATCGAAACGTCTATTTCTACCTACGTGACTTTACCAAAAGAACCAAAGAGTATGGATTCCTGCAGTCACGAAAGCTTAAAATTAAGATTAAAAATAAATCGCCTCTCGGGTTGCTGATAATTACTGAACAAGTCGGTGATTGCTAAACAAGGCTATTGGCTTATGAATGTGCTAACCACCCAAGTAAAGGTTCGGTCAAGCAACCACCCAGCTGCGCAACCCATTGGGCCTTACCTGGTCAAAAAAGTTTATAGTTAAGTTTTTTTAATCTATCAACTCACCAACAAAGGCAGAGCTGCCAGCTATCCCAAGAAATCAAGCGGGTGATGAACCAATCAGTCGTTGATTTATCAACAAGACCGTTGACTTATCAACTAGCTATTAGATAATCAATTCACCGAACAAGACATTGGACAACAAACCAAGCCAACAGTTAATCATCCAGTCTATGAAAATGCCAACCAACAAAACAACCAGTTAACTTTACCTTGAAGTAACTTGCCATCGAACCGACCGGCTGTCTGACTCGAATACCAACTGTCCAATCTACCAGTAAAATCAACCAGCCTCCCATAGCACTTAATAACCAATTCAAGTAATTATCCAACTGCGCATTAATGCAGTAAAATGAGAGAGTTAATCACTATGACTAATATTTTTGTTCCAACGATTACATTTTTTTGTTTTTTTTATTTTAATATGGGGACTTAGAAGGTAAATATTTTCAAGAGATCCTTTGGGAAAAAATAGGGTTATTGTAATGTTGTAGTTCATTATTGCCTAGTTTATTCTATTGCAGGATTTAATATAGTGCCTTGAATTTTATCTCGCGAACAATTCAAAAGCTCAACAAATAAATGACCGCAGAATTAATTGAAAATAAACAAAAATGTTTTCTCTGCAGACTGCTCCGCCCGGAATCCTTTTAAAAAGTTTAACGGTAGGGTGTTAATCTTGTAAAAAGGTTGAATTACTTTACATGTTAAAGGCCATAAACTTCTGTGGCTTCACGAGTTTAATTACTCAAGAGCTTAATAAAAAAAACATGTTGAAACCTTTACTAAGAGCGCTGCTTTTACCAATCACGCATGGACAACCAAAGTCTGGAGCAACTACAGACAAAAGCAAAATAATAAAATACAAAAAATACTCCCCCACAACCAATGTTGACAATGGAGAGGTGGTACAGTGGTTAACGCCCTGTCCTATGAACCTGATTCACCCGAGTTCGATTCCCACCCACCGCACAGCGTCGGTGATGAGTGATACCTGAAACGCTCACTTCACCGCCACGCACTGACCAGTCAAGTGAAGCATGGTCAAACAACCCCCCATACCAACCTCCCCATGACGCATTGACACCGTAGCGCGTTGAACTTCTTTCGCTCCGTACGCAAGCCGACCGCGCCAATCGGAGGGCAAGCGAGCGGCCGGTGCGAGCCGCACACTCACCGTGCCGGGCCTCGGGTACGGAACCTTGCCCTTGTACTCCGTCCAGCCGAACTCCTGTCCCTCCTTGTGAGCAAAGGGCCCGTTGAAGACGGCTCGGACGTCCGCGGCGTGGTACACGCACACGGCCGACCCCTGGAACACGGCGCTGAGGGGGGTGCCGGCAAAGACGCGGTAGAAAATGCACAAAAACCGCCGAAACTAATCAGCGTTACGAGCGTGAAAGTACCCGTGCAGGCGCTGCTCCTCCGGCGCCGTTTTGACCTTCTCAACAAACAGTTGGGGGTCTGGAAATAAAATCCTGTACAAAGGGAATTCAAAGTAAGAGCATCAGCAAGCAGCACAGAGTGACATTCAAACTGCGGTTTGGTAGTTTTGCGTGGGCGAGGTTATTCTCATGTGCACAAATGAGTTTGTCCATCTGCAGTTTTATTCAGTGCGCACTGCAGTATCAATTTACAGAACCGTTTCGTTATTTGCCCTGAGTCTGTTTTATGTCACGCTAGATTAGGATGCTCTCTGAAGGGGAATGCGCATGGTGCAAGATCTTCCCCACAGCCTTCAAGATCCTCCACGGACTCGACCTTGCCTTCCTCTATCCGCTCATCTCACGCCACTCCCAATCGCATGCTCTCCGCTCCACCGACTGAGGTCTGCTGTCGAAACCCCACTTCAGCATATGCTCAACCTCAGGTTGCTTCTTCTCTTCTGCTGCCCTTATTGTTCTATTATAGCCCATTAACAAGAGAATAGAGGTAAGTCTGAGCCAATGAAAAAGGGTATTTGAGGCAGGAGTGCAACTCGACGATGTGATACTGTCAGGACAGATCTTGGAAGTCCGCTGAGTGACTACCGTACAGCGGCTGTGGGATCTAGCGGAGGGCAGGATTTGTTCGCCAGGTTCAGTGGCATCAACCATCACGCAAACTCCGGCCATCCTCGCCAGCGTCTTTTGGCTCAGCCATCGAACAAAGACGGTCACCGCATCGCGCGCTTTCAGACGCGCTTCCGCGGCCGTCTGGAACGCTCTTCCATCCGATATTAGGAAGCCACTGGGGGGAAGAGAACGCTCTTCAGTTTGTTGCCCCCGCCCCCCCCCCCCCCACCGCACTTTTGATTAGCACACTTGGCTAAGTACGGTGCGACAAAAACGTTGAACATGCAGCGGGTTATTTGATTGTAGGCTTTTGCCATCAATGACTTTGGCCGATGACAGCATCTCCCAGTCACTCGCTCCTTTGGCTCTCTCTTAACCTGGCCCCTCGCGCTCACCTGGAGGTGCTGAACACGGCGTAGAGCAGGGGGTTCCTGTCGTCCTTGGTCGGCTGCAGAAACACGTCCTCTGCGAAAGGCAACCAAAACCATCGGCGACAGCTCCAGCAGCAGTGCGAGCGGCGGCGGCAGCAGAGGGCAGCAGCAGCAGAGGGCAGCAGTCGCGACGACATCAACTAGAGCCGCATCGCTCAGCAACGATGCCGCAACAAAGGGAGAATTATAATTGATTTGCGGGTTAGGCCGAGTAATGATCGGGCACGTTCTTTTTTTTACATATATGAAGCCCTCGATTTTGTTCAACGCGTGGCAATTACTGTTTTATACCGTGACTAATTGCTACGTTTGGATTGGCTGTGTCGGGTGGTGAAGGGGTCTCAGCGACAAAAAAATGTTGCCACGATCTTTACGTGGCCGAACGCCGAATTCAATAACGAATCATAACATCGGTTGCGAAACCTACGACGCGTTAAGTTTAACTGCAGGAGTCTCTCGCTCTCTTGCCGGGGACTGTGCTTTGGTGGAAACTGCGCAGCGGTCGTGCACGCGCGTCACGTGCAGCGCTATGGCAAGAAGGAGAAGAGGAGAAGGAGGAAGGAGGAGGAAGGAGAAAGGAAAGGGGAAGAAGCAGCAGGTGCATGTCCGACACGGGTGACTCACACGCGAGGGTGGACCCGTGACAGCCGAGCTTCTGCCGCCACTCACGTGCTAATTACTCACGTCCTTAAAGCGCCCATGAGTGTGCCCATGTGAGTGTGCACGTGTGTGTGTGTGCACGTGTGTGTGTGTGCCCGTGTGTGTGTGTGCGCTAACAGCACTTGCCCCTACAGTCTGTTAAGGCTATATGGGGGATCTTTGTTATCTTTGTTGTGTGTGCGCCCGTGTGTGTGTGCGTGCGTACGTGCGTGCGTGTGTTCGCAAACAGCTGGACGGCACCGACGCGCCTTCAAAAAAAATCTTCCTGCCATCGTGGAATTTGCGAATTCAAAACATCAGTTGCTTTTTGTACCGCCCCCCACGACCCCGACGTCGATCGGCAACGCGAAAGAAGAATGCGCGCTGCCGTGCGAGCGACTCCGCCTCGCGGGTGTCGGGGAGGAAGGGAACCCGGCCACATCCCTGGGCGGCCGTTCGGTTCCGGCCGCCGTCCCTAGTTCGGCTCAGGGACCCCCCCCCCCCCCCCCGCCACCCCCCGCGGGCCCATCGATCGCGGGAGCCGTCGGGTCTAGCGGTTGTTTTGACATTGAGCAGCGGGGTGGGGGGGGGGGGAGAGGTTCGCGTGGGCCGCCACTGCCGTTCAGGACACGTACGGATCTCGTCGAAGTGAGTGTCGATTCCGTTGGGCCCCGGCACGGAGCACACGAGCCGAGCCTTGAGGAACGTGGTCCACTTGTTGATGAGGCTGCGCTGCCCGCCCATGTCGTTCTGTTCGGGGGAGGTGGGGGGGAGAGAGGCGGCATGAGGAGGACGAACGCTGCCTGCTCAAGCCGCACGTTTGTTTGCGGCTATGGAAAGGACGCGGTGTTGAGTGGCGAACCGCGGGTTGGCATGGGCCCTGGTGCGAGGAATGGAAGAAGAGCACGTGTGTATGTATGTTGAAGCTCTTTATGCACCGTACGTAGCAAACCGTGCTAATCGGAGGTACAGGGAAAGGTAAAACAAACTAAACACAAAGAGCAGCTCTGAAAGAAATGAGTTTTCAATCTGGATTATTTAAAAGTGCATGGCTCCAGTTGCTTCCGAATATCGGAAGGAAGAGCGTTCCAGACGGCCACGGAAGCGCGTCTGAAAGCGCGCGATGCGGTGACCGTCTTTGTTCCGTGGCTAGCCAAAAGTCGCTGCTGCGAGTGTCGTGTGGTGATGGTCTCCGCTCCTTGACGAGATCAGCAAGGTATTGTGGTTCATTTGTGACAAGCCACTTTGTGTGTAACGAGTGCGACTTTCTAAGTGAGGCCCTCTCCCTGTCCAATTCCCCTACCACCACCCTCCTAGCCGCACCTCCGATTAGCACGGTTGGCTACGTACGGTGCGAAAGAAGTTCAACATGCATGCACACTGTGCATAGACCAGTGCCGAGGGAACTCCGGAGCCCGTGGAGACTGGTGCAGTCTCACCGCCTACACCGACCACAGCCACGCCATTAGCGGTGCACGAATGATTCTATTTCTGGAAATTAAATTCCCCTACGATTTGGACTTTATTGTATTTTAATCAAAATACGGCACGGTGATCATAGCTGTTGTGGGAATTACAATACGGGTGAGTACACTGAACAGAAGTTCTGGAGAGCGTTTGTGTGTGTCTGCTTTGTTTCTTTCAAATATAACGAGGGCCAGGTTAAGCTCACTTTTATAATTTGGTTCATTAGGCAAGAGTCATGAACTGTTTATATTGCAATTTTAACAATTGCCTACAATTGTTTTGTTAACAAGTCACACTAATATATATTCTACACGTTTCGGTTGCTTTACGGGCAATTTTTCAATTCAAGCACAAATTGTGTCGTCGTTTCACCGAAAAAAGAATTTATCGCAGTTGGGCGAATTGTTTCCCTCTCGCTATTTGTTTCCATCTGCGTTTGTCTTTGCGCTAAACGCAAAAAATAAACGGTGGCGCTAACTTCAAGAGCACGCACGTGTTTGCGTTCGTAACGAGTTATTTTTTTTACCCTAATTTGTCACGTATTGCGCAGTACTGCTCAGAGCAAAGTGGCATGAAATTGCCAGGCTAAACATTGTACTGCTTAATGCTGAGAAAATAAAACGCCGTTCAGAGGGGAAAACATAATTACGGCACGCACGTACGACACAAGGTGTCACGTTCGGCTGCCAGTGCAGGCCCACAAATGATGCAACCTCGCAGACAACATTTCTTTAAATATTCCCGATGTAAAAAAAAATGTTGTTGCATGTAGGTCAATCAATTTTCATTTACACATAGCTTAGCAATTTTAATTACACGTCGGTTTTCAACGTGAAGGCAATCAATCTGCAGTGCTGTGAAATGCGGCTCATGTATGGAACGAGCCAAAGGTTTTACGCGTGCGCGCGGCTGGTGTCCACCCTCGCCACGGCCGTGACACGTCAACGCGCATCCCGCACCTGCGGTAGCCTACGAGCATTTCTCACTCGCCAACAAAAGTTGGGGCAAAAATTCAATGACGTGTCTGAATGCATGCAAGTCGGAGGCGCTTGAAACATCACCCTCAAGTAAAAACAAAAACTGCCCATTCACGATCGCGCTTTTTTTAAACTACCCACTTCTTCAACGCGTCTTAAATGTGCGTCACCGAAATCATCGCAGCGCCCCGCGAGGCAGGGTGGCGACGTACGTGCCACCCTCGGCGAACTGAGACGTCGCCGTGGTTGACGGCCACGTTTCCATTCGCAATCCTCGGTGTTTTTAATTTCCTTGCTCGCCACCTCAACGTCGATAGCGTCTGCAGGGGTCCCCCACAGCCCGGGCCTCGGTAAAATGTGCGCCCGAGTGACTGGAGTCTCGCGCACGCAAGTCGATGCGTCGAGCCGCGTCAGAATCAATTTCGGTTGACCGTGAGCACGTGCGTACGTTGAAAGTCTTTCGCAAACGCGCTCATCCGTGGTGCGCGTGGGAAGGACGTCAAAATTTTTTTTAAAGCAGTTTTAAAGAAATAAGTGGTCGGTGAATCTCCACGTGCCTATTAACTACTTCAGTCGGGTGAGCGTAGACAAGTGGGAGGAGACACGCGGCAGGGTGGGGTGGGGGGCGAGATGACAAATGGCAGGCAGCCAGGCCCCCGAGTGTATGACAGGAAACCGAGATAAAGAAGACACCAGGGGAAGGGCTTAAGGGAGACCCTTGAAGGACACGTATCCAAACAATGGGCATATGTTGAGTTTCAATTGCACAGACCCCCTTGGGTTGGACTCTGCTGATTGGGAACTGCCGTCCCTCGGCGCATGGACGCGCAGCGTCCTCGGCAAAAACGCCCACCGGCGCGTCGCTTCAAGAGCTGATCGCGAGAGTGCGCGGCGCTTGGGACGTGTGTTAAAATAAGGGTCCGGCGTCAACATTAAGTAATTGCGCGTCTTGCTCCGAAAATTGGTCCAACGGTACATTAAAAGCATTCGCAGACTTGCACTCGTGACTTAATCAATACCATCATCGCAATTAGCTTCTGTAAAGTATCCATTTGCCGGATGAAGGCCTCCCCATGCTGTCACTATTCCTCACAATATCCATCGCCTGCACAGGGGCACCGCGGTGGCGGGATGTTAACTACCTCGCCTGGTATACATGAGGTCGTGGGTTCGATCCATCGCCTGCACAAGAGCCGATCTCGTCACTTAATTCCCACCACGGCGGTTTCCCTGGTGGGCACATTCCTTCACAATCTCGCCCATCGGCCATCATCCTCGTGCTGCAATGTGCCCTGCCCGAGCCCAATTACTTTTCTTTACAGTCGATATGATGTCTCTGACACGCATTTGTTCTCTAGTGCACATGTCTCTCTTTCTGTCTGTCTGCGTAATGCCGAGCATGCATAACATCCTTGCTGCTGTGCGCACTTTTCTGCATTTCAACTTGGTGCTCAAGGCGCTGCACATCACAATGAAATATACCGTAGGTCAAATGGAGGAAAAACTGAGAACGTGGAAGCAAATGCAGCGAACCAAAAGCAGGAGAGAATAACTTCGACTTGAGGAGGGTTTTAAACATCGCGATTGTCTCCGATATCATTAAGCACGCGGTCGATGGAAAACGCTCTTTTTCTGGGTGCAAAAACGTGCCGCTTATCATTGTGAAGTTATTTTTTCTTCATAATGTTTCATCCGGCTCATTTGCATCTTTATTTCAAGATGTTAAGTCCAATCCGCCTTCTCAATACATTGCCAAAACTAATCAATATAGAACCTCTTGTCAATTAGCTGAAAACGCGACAACATAAAGAGAGGATTGCAGAGCTTGGGCTGTGGTTCCTTGGCGATCGCGAGATGCATTCTGCATAAATGATGACCACTCGATATTAAACTCAATAAAACATTTCATTGGTTCTTTCGGTAAAGTTTCCCTTCTACGTGACTTTGCCGAAAGAACCAAGAATATGAATCCCTGCGGTCGCGAAAGCTTTAAATAAAAATTTAAATAAAAATAACAAAATGTTAAGTTGGCCCAACTTTTTTGTTTTGGTGTCCTCAACAACTGTGGCATAGCATTCACACACATAGCATACATGAATTGCGTTCAATGCCATATTCATTCCTTATACTGCATAACAAAAATTCTTAAAGGAATCAATTATTACTCCACGACTAATATTAACACATATCTGAATTACCACGGCATTCCATACGCCCACTACATATTTCTGCAATCATTAACGAAATTCATTTCAGAAACCAAACACACAAAAATCAACATTTCAAAATTAATAAACAATATTGCCTGACTTATGGCCATTATATAGTTGTGAAACTCTCGGGTACCCTCATTTGAATTGTTAAATAAACAGCACGGGGCCATTTGGCTCATATTTCATGTTGATTTAGTTGCTAGAAATTCTGCCCAGCCGTAACATTTCACGAGTCGAACATTGCAGGCAGTGTTACGCCACCTCACACAAAAGTGTCTCGGTAACCCTGAGCACAATAAGCTCCCTTTTGCCCTCCGCACAATAAATTCAGCAACGCGCAAAACGTAGATAATCGGGCCGCTGAAAGCCGTGACCGCACACAGGACCCCGTCCTCATGATAAATCAAAGCAGCAAGCCTTCAGCCCGTGTTAGCTTCTCCGTTTAAACATATCACACGTGGGGGGTGGGCGGGGGGGGGTTGTTAATATATGTTACGAATTAAAAAAATTATAACGAAGGATGCTGCCGTGGTGGTAACGGTTCGCACACTCGACTTGACACACAGCGGTCGCCGGTTCGATTTGATCTCCCGGCACGGCAGGTGAAACGATGCGGCAAGTTTATGCAATCCGCCCGCCTCTGCCACACGCGGCAGTGTAAATGGGTTCACCGCGGTTAGTCAATCGAGGGGGGCCGCGGTGCGGACGGGTAAAGTGTGGTTACTCCCATTTCTTCCATGGCCAGCCGTGTACGCTGCACTCAAAACTATTTTTTTTTTACCAGGTAAGGCCCACTGAGCTTAATAGCTCTTTTTCAGAAGCAACCTGGCCACAAATGATAGGTCAATGAAGTGGCTTGTCGTGTGGACGTTTATAGCGGCCGAACACTCTAAATGCGTGATGTTGATTCTAAATGTGGAGGGGAAAACCTGGAGGCCCCTGGAGAAAAATCTACGCGACCAGGGGGTGAGAGAGAGAGAGACACGCAAACTCAAAATATACAGCAGCAAGCGTCAGGTTCGGGATCGAACCCCACGACCTCCTGCACACGAGGTGAGGTAGTTAACATCTCGCCATCCGTGGCGCCCACCCTCTCGGGGGGGGGGGGGCTCTCCAGAGTTCCATCCAGTGGGAGGCCCTTCCGGCAGCAGCGGCGTGAGCAAGAAATCGCAGGGCTGCGCCTTTACCCGACGAATAGAAGAACGACTCCAAATTCACGAAGCCAAGAAGCCACTGGGTGAGAAAGGCAATTTTGTTTTGTTAATGCGGCAAAACGGAAAAGCTGGACTGGCTCGTCGCCACCGATCGGCGAACGCACGCCTGGCTTCGGTGGCTGCCGTCATTTAATCAAAGTCTTAACCAGGGGCTCAGCTACAACTTGCAGCCGAACTGCAACATTTGGAATGCTTTCAAAAAGACCCTTATGCATTTTGTCATGGTTCGAGTAATAAAAGGGAGCTCAGCTGCGTCCGCATTGTGGCTGTGATTTGCCATTAGGGAATACGCGGAGACACAGAAAAAATATTTTTTTCCGAACAAAAATTAAGCGTGAAGTACTTATTGGAAGCCAGAGAGCCTTCGCGTGTTTAAGTATGCGGCGACAGCTTTCATTTTGTATTACTCATTTACGCTAACCACATTTGAGCTATAAAAATATATCAACGTTTTGCGATTCATTACATTAACGCTGTAATACACATATATTCTCTGTAGCTAATTTGCAATATGACATTTTTCGTAGTTAACTGGTGACCAGGCATGAGACCATCAAAACTTCTCCACCATAGTTATGACGCCTGTAAGTCAGAATCACAGCACAACCAGGTTTGCATGTTTAAGGTTCTCAGGTGTGTGCTGAGGGCAGAGCCAATGAAAGTCGATAGGATATTTGCATGTATGCCTTAAATATATAAAAAAAAATGTGGAATGTTTCATTTCGCAAGTTTTTAGTTTCATAGCTCTGCTCCACATTTTATTTTCCCAGAGTTCTCTGCCTCAGAAATGCGTGGCAGTTAAATTCCTTCTCTTGCAAGGTTGATTGAGCCCAGAAATGCATTGCCAAGATGGGGTTTGGGCCTTGTTTGTGCGTCCTCAAAAGAACAAAACTTCCCACAACGCATTGTGCCAGCAACATTTTATAATTAAACTTTTAACATAATTGAGTTTACTTAAGTGTTATTTATTATCGAATGGTTGTTTCTTGTACTCAGTAGCTACTAATAGGTAACTATTTGCGTACCAATCAAAAACTAGTAATCATAACATCTTTGGAAAATGTAATACTCATCAGGCCCCATGGTGTTATGTGCAGTCTCCACAATCATTGTTACTGTCTGGCCTCAATGTGTATATGCTATTAAGAAGGATCATTGCCTGAAATGTTGCCGATTATGTTTTTTTGAGCTCACGGTAATGTTACTGATTAATAAAGTTGTAATTTTTCCTATTTTTTTTTAAATCGCAGACATGGTTGTCGATTCATAAATATTAAAGCTACAAGTTTGTCAAATGGCTATGGACAGAATTATTTTAGGAGCATACAAAAGAGTTAGGTTAAAGAATGAGCAAATGAACACAAGAACAGGGGGTCAGGGATGCTGTTGTCCTCAAAGCAAAAAGATAATCCAGTGGAAATGGGCAGGAGGCCGCGTCATGAGAAAGACTGACGAGAGGCGAGAGACGAAACCAACTACGGAGTGGAGACCGAAAGACGGAGCAAGCAGCAGAGGGGAGGCAGCGCGAGAAACGCCGGCAGCGAGACGACAGAGTTCGGAGGCCACGAACCGGAGAGAGGAGCAGCTGAGGAAAAAAAAAAGGAAGAAACGGGAGAGAACGAAAGAGATTTTTTTTTGCCACGCGTGCATGTATGTTGAACTTCTTTCGCACCGTACGTATCCGACAAGTGCTAATCGGGGGGGGGGGGGGGGGGTGCGGGGAGAAAATGACATCAAACTAAACACGCAAAAAAGCAGTTCTCAAGAAGAAGACATCTAAAAGCGCGCAGCTGATATCGGAAGGAAGAGCGTCGTGGGGGAAGCTGTCCCCTTACTTTGCAGACGCGCGCCACCCGGGAGTAGATGGCCTTGGCGCCGCTCGCCTCCAGGGCCGTCTCGCGGAAAAACACGTACACCTTGTCGTCCTCACGGCTGCTCGTGTCGGGGAACGCGAACACCGCCACGAACTTGGGATCTGTCGTCGTCGGACAAAAAAAAGAGACGCAATGAAGCACGCCTTGCCGTGTGAGCGTTGCGCGTGTTGCGGGCCATTCTGCACCCAATCCACCAAATCGTCCGTCAATTCGTGGGGTCGCCGTTTGGCCCCGCTTCGCCATGCAGGTCAGCGTGCCGGTTATTTTGACGGTGATCCGCGTCGAAGCACGCTACGACATTGGATTTGTTTTTTTTTTGTTTTCACTGCTCTCTGCTGCTCGCAATGCAGCCGCGCGCTTGCAACGCTCTACAAAATATGATGCCTGGTGGTGGTCAGGTCGCCCATTCACGGTGCGATCCATGCTCAAGCTGCGATTGTGAGATCCGAAAGAGACTGGGGTGTGTTCTGGGTAATTTGGTCATCACCTTTACATAGAATAACATTGCTGAATAACATAGCCGAGTGGGCTATCCTCTGCTTACATGAAAAATACTGACTCATAAAAACAACCTGGCAAGCCAGTCCATTTAGGGAGCCTCCTTTGTTTTGTTAGGGGTTTCAGAAAAATGCAACCACATCCACAAACGTACACTCACCAGAGGTACACGCGTCTATAACGAAATGCTCGCAGCCACGCTGGCTCTCAGTGCAAAGTAAAACAAAATGACGAATACATCTGTATATAATGGTAAATCTTGCGCAACCAAAAAGATACAGATCTGGGCACTTGTAGAGGTGAGCGAGCGTCGGTGTGGGAGGTTTTGTCGTCATTTGTTCAGTGTTGTGTATTTGTTTGTAAGCGATGCAATCTGGGGCAGATGGACTACCAGATAGATGGACGAACGGACAGACATACAATTTGCAGTGCATAGCAAAAAGCAGCCAATTGCTTTTTTTCTCAAAACAATTGAGAATAATAATAGGGTTTTTCCCCTTTTTTCTGGCAACAAAACTGAAACCTTGTTTACAAGGATTCATGTCTGCATTAACCACAATACCTGCAGTCAAAATGCAAACATAAAACATACTATGATAATATATGCATTATCCTTGAAACTGATTGGTCCTAACCAGAGACAGCTTTCTTTTGAGCCTAGTCTCAATTGGTGCGAGACCAAATGACGCCAAAAGGCGTACTGGCAAAGGAGATCCAATGATGAAACAATTGAGAATTTAAACATTTCAGTTGCTTTCCAATAAAGGCAAGAAGCACTTAAGCATTAGCTCCGTGCATCCGTCAGCCTCGTCTGTAACATGGGCTCGCCATAACACTTTTAAACGTGATTCAGGAGGAACGCAACTTGGGTATCAAGTTGCGTTCCTCTAATTATTGTTAGGGACTTGCCCTCGAGAGAACCGGCCCACGTTCGATTAAGTGGTTGCCAAAAACGTGGACGGCACAAACCGGGAGCAAAATTTAACGATTCGCAAACATGCAGCTACCCGTCAGCTTCCATGCCGATAACGATGAACTACGTCCGAAGACACTCCGCGCATAACGCACGCTCCCCCCCCGCTCGTTTTAAATGTTTCTTGTTCGCATATTCCTTAAGCGTTCTTTTAAGTCTGCCATCGGCAGCACGAGAGCTGACCATCCCGTGAGAGTTGATTGCGCGTGGTTGATTTTGTTTTGGTCCTCTCTCATTCCGAGTTCAATTAACCCGAGGACCATCCAGAGCGTGCCAAACGCATCTGCGTCTGAGCTTACAGAGGGCCTCGCCAGATGCCGCTTCTCACCTGCGCATTCCTGCAGAGATTTAAACCTCCATGATGCGCCCACGCTGATCCATCGCACACCCCCCTTCTTTCCCTCCGCGCGACATTTAACAACAATCTCGAAAGCCGAGATGCTTCTCTGACAGAAGAATGCTAACTTGGGTTGAAACAGTCGATACTTCTAAATCTCAGCAGGGCGTTACTTTTTTGTTTGTTTCCGTGGGGATTTGTCACGAAAAAAAAAACATTCAAAAGCTAACATTCGGTAAAAAAAATGTGACTTGTCAACTTATACGACACCCAGAGAGGTAATGTTTATGGGTGAATTGTAATCACCAGAAATGGCATTGCACATTGTGTATTCGCGTTGTGAGCGATGTAAAGTACTCCACTGCCCTCTTGCATGTTACTCTCCCGCGTCACCGAATGAATCTAAACTGAACTGGCAACTTTTGTGTTTTTTTATTATAATTTCCTTTATTTTAATTAAACATTTAAAAACCAACATCGAAATAGCACGCGTACAGATCCTCTGCCAATCAACTGCTGCGGGCGGTGGGAGTTATTGACCATACTTCACCTGCTGGTCAGTGCATCTTGGTGGGGGGCATCGACGTAAGGCACATAGAAGCACAGTACAACCGTAGATTGTGCTGTACTGCCCTCTTCCGCCCAACACGTAACGCCCCAGTCTATAACAACTGTGATGCATGGTGGTCAACCATTTTGCAAACCATCTCGGCTCGACTCTGCTTAGCTTCCGACATCTGACGGGGCTGCGTTCGTTCTGACATCTGATGGCACTGCGTGCATTTTGTCATCTGATGGAACTTTGTGCGTTCTGATATCCACTGCGTGCATTCTGTCATCTGACGGGGCTGCGTTCGTTCTGACATCTGATGGCACTGCGTGCATTCTGTCATCTGATGGAACTTCGTGCGTTCTGATATCCACTGCGTGCATTCTGTCATCTGACGGGACTGCTTGCCTTCTGACATCTGATGGCACTGCGTGCATTCTGTCATCTGATGGAACTTCGTGCGTCCTGATATCCACTGCTTGCATTCTGTCATCTGACGGGACTGCGTGCCTTCTGACATCTGATGGGACTGCGTGCATTCTGTGCGATTTGGCCACAGGGCTTACATTTACACTAAACAGGTCGCTAGACACTACGTGCCTGAGGAACATAGCCAAGTGGTTATAGACCCTCGGACTCATTACTGTAAATTAAAAAAAGAGAGCTTTAGCGGAATGCACTGCCACTGTGTGCATTCTAGCATTTGTCTGACGCCAATCAGGGCGCGTTAAAGGGTTCCAGACCGGCAGCGCGCGTGCACGCGCGACGATTCCCTGGGGCACCGCCAGGAATCGGCTGTGCGTGGGACATGCGTCCGCGGCCACCGCCGCCTCACCGTTGAGCCAGCTGGCCTCGTGCTGCTCCGTGCGGATGGAGTTCCCCGGGCCCAGGCTGCGGCCGAACGTGGGCTCCTTGCCCATGAAGTCCACGTTGAGCCCGGCGAACAGCTGGCCGTCTGCGAGCAAAGAACGTCAGCGACGGTTGTTCGGTGAGCACGGCTGGCGACGTACGGCGCGAAAGAAGCTCAACGCGCGTGCGTGCGTGCGAGCGAGGCGGTGGCAACTTTAAGAGAGAAATCCACATCCGCGATCGCGGAGCGACACAAACCGCGGTGCGAGTGAAACTCCGAGACCGGCGCACGGCGGCACCGAAGCAATTCGCCAGCTCGCGGACACCGGCGGTTGAATGGCCGACGAAGCCGGCTATCGATTTGTAGCGTTTGGCTTTGCGGTTCCAAAAAATTCCGTTGGCCCATCCTTGCAATGCGACACTGCGGGCGTATTAACCAGAAAGTATGCGCCGTCTGCAGTGGATGTTAAGGATGTTGAAAATCACGTGACAATATTTATATATGTTTTTGCTTGTTTAAGAGAAGGTCGTGCGTGCCAGCGGCACAATCCAAATGTGCCCAATTAGCAAAATTATGTGAAAGTCACTTAGTTTGGTAAAACCACATCACAACATCGCCTCCCACTGGCAGACTATAACCGCCTTCATGATGGCCTTGCTTTATATATATAAAAAAAAAGAATACTCGAATACCAAATGCATTATTCAATGGTCTTGAAACAGCCAGCGTCCAGCCTGGAATAACAGACGACCGTCTGCACAAGTGGACGTAAGTGTTTCGCAATTAATTTGATAACAGTTGGGGGAATAACCTTGGCGCTTGAGGCAATATTATTTCACCACGAATTATTATAACAATAAACCTTCTCTCCCTCCTTCGTCAACGATTCCATCCAACCATGAATGTGTGCAACGATGAGGACAACTCGAAAGCGGTCACCACGTGAGTTCGATCACTCTTTCCTCTTAACGCCGGATTATGAGCGATATCACCATGGCTATAGGACACACACATTGCAGTGTTACAAAGCCAGAACGCTGCCTTACGCCCCTTCTGCAAGTAATGGGAATCAGCCACGTTCAGTGCAGCTTTACTGCCACATCTGAACTTCACCTAAAATGACCAAGAAGAGATCTTTCACACACGCAAATAAATAAGAATTTTGGCCCCATTACCTCCGACGGGGAATTTTTTTTACCATTTGAACGTGTTATCCAGGGCTTAATGAAACGTCGTCGTTGTTGTTGTTATTGCCGCGTGGTTTTATTTTTGTACGCGGTGTTTAATTGCCCCCCCCCCCCCCACACTTTTCAAATAAAATGGCGAACAGATGTGTGGGCTGCGTGGCCAAAGCAACTGCGGCAATACCAGAGCATTAGCCAGCACCACTGGGTCCATGGGTTTCAATCCCGGGTTCGAACCCCCCCCCCCCCCCCCGCTTCCCCCCCCCCCCACCCCCCAGCGTTAAGCTTAATTCTTGAACGTGGCGTGTTCAGGCTCTAAGCCCGGACGCCAACACATGGACTCCCTTAGACTGCCCAATGTGGCAATTGAAGGGGCCTCAGAAGTAGTTCTTTGATGTCACCTTCCAGAGGCTGTTGTCACTGGTGACTGGGCAGAGGCCATCAGCTCACTTGAGTTGAGAAACCAAGCTTAATCGGCGATGGCTGCCTGGATTTAAACTCGGGTTTCCAGCGTTGACAGCTCAGCGCTCTGCACTGCCGCCATAATCTTTCATTACTCCCTGCGAGAGTTCAGCAATGCACATTTCGCCATGTCAAAACGCGCAGCTCACGGCACATTTGTAATGCAATTAAGCAGAAGACGAACCGTTGCATTGAATATGGGACTTAAAAAAAAACGTTTTTTTAATATTGGAGACCGTCATAAGTCTGTGCCTACCACTGTAGGGTCAGTGTGCTGCTCTGAGGCTTGGGAAGAGTGGCGGGGAGGCACTGCGTGTGTGTGCGGGTGGCCGGTCTCAGGCTCCGTACCTGTGATCAGGGAGACCGTGTGCTGCTGAGGATCATAGGGGCATCGGCCACGGCCAGACTCCATGTGCTGCGCGTCCAGACTAAACACGGGCTCCTGCTTGATGATAGCGACGGCCAGAATAAAAAAAACGCGAGGATAACGTGTTTAGCGAGCGTCATTTTACGTGCTATGAAGAAGCCCCATTGCCCGAAACGTCACCGAAAACATATTTGGTTCCTTTCAACGCAGTGTTAATTGTGCTTGTGAGCCACTGGCAATGCAGCATTACCAAATTAAATGGTTAATTATATTTTGAGGCCATACCACACGGCTTACCACGTTTTTCTCCCGCTAATATGAGGACGTTCGGTAAAGTGTCCTTAGGTTGGAATTTGCACCGGAATCCTAAACTTGTCTTGCTGCAGCAATATACAGTTCTAGAACATACTGGTTTTCATTTAAAACAAATGTTTTTATTTTTATTACTGTTCTTAGCAATCACGCGCTTGCACCTTAGCAAGCGCTCAGGCTGTCTCCATGTCGTGGTGATCGATTCCCGAACGTGCCGCCGCTACAAGGCGCCGTTGCGAGTCAGACGCTCGCCACTTTTTTAGTAATTGCATAAAACGTTCATTTTCTTATCGCAATATTTGGAAGGGGAACAAAAAAATTGTGAAGTGACGACAATTCGTATTTCGGCACGTGACAACCGGAGGTTAAGATCTTCCGTTCGATGCATATTTGCAGACACGCTACGGGCGAAGAAGATGGGAATACGCATGAACTGATTATTCGGCGACGATGCTGCATAGGCAGTGTGGTGCACATGCACAATGAACAAAATACTCTACAGTACTCTAGAGGCAGTGTTGTTAATGAGTGTGTTGAGATATATTTGCACAGTATATAATCCCTGACCAATTATATACGTCTCCCTGTGGAAAATATAAAAAATACAAGGCATCTAGTTTAAAATAACAAGGACCGCTGGCATAATAACAACCCAGATTAATGAACGATTAAGACAAATTAATTTAAAAAATTACAACAGCAACCTGTTAATGTTACCGCACGGTTGGCTACGTAGGTGCAAAAGAATTTAAACATACAATGTAACAGCAAGTAATGCATACAATTCTATTTGATTCAACCATGGGAGTTACATATGTAAGCATTAATGCACATTGGACAGAAGTCCCAAGTTATATTGTCAAGAGCGTATGGCTTCGTGCAACTTAAATGTGAAAACCTGCAGTGATGCAACTGCCATAGAAATTGGCTACGGTTTACTAAACCCCCGAATGGACATTGTACATCAGGGAAAAAAATAACAACCGACTCCTTCTTGTTTACTTAGGACGCCGTATATAATTCGGGAAAAATTAACCCGAGGACCATCCACAGCGTGCCAAACACATCTTCGTCTGAACTTACAGAGGGCCCTGCCAGATGCCGGGTCTCCCGAATGAAAAGCAACCGATCATTCAATTGCCTCAATTGGCTACACTTGACAAGGGGACACAGCCCAGCAGATTTGCCAAGCTGGAGTCGACTTCATGGCAATGAAGTCGTACGCACGTAAGCCCCTTTATCCCATTGGCCAATGCAATAATTCCCTGAATGCTGAGCAGGCATTGGCCCACATCTTACGCTGCTGCCACTGCAACATTAACGGCCGTAGCCTAACGGATGGGGGGGGGGGGGCTTGAACAATTATGCCTGCAACACGATTGGGGAATTGAACTTGCTTTCATTTGTAATTATTATTTGCAAACCTGTTTAGCGCAGGCAGCTTTTCAGGGGCGAGTGCTCTTACTTAGAGAGCATTGATGGAAGGCCGACGCAGCATGCGAGTGGGTGGGTGGCCCGCCCCACGCTCGGCCGCCTTTGTCTCCCGAGTGACCATGTTCACACATGGCACCGGGCACTCATGTAGAATCAAAATCTATTTTTAGAGTGGAGGAATCCGACGAGCTATGAAGCTCTTTTTCACGCGTGTCAGTTTACCTCGGGGAGACCAAAGACCGAAGCAAGATAATCGTCACTGGCGTTGACAGCGAGCGGGAATCGGACTCGGGTTTCCAGGTTCGTAGCAACTCCGATTACCACGGTTGGCTACGTACGGCGCAAAAGAAGCTCAACATCCGTGCATACAACAGCCACGGGTACGTAGCGCAGCCACGTGCGCCAAACACGTGCGCAGCAACGCACATGCAGAGTTTGTGCCCTCTGCGGTGAAACAACGGCGACGGCCCTACGGCAGACTGCCCATGGGTGTGGGTGGGTGGGTGTAGGGGGGGGGGGGGGGGGTGCACCTCAAGCCTGGAGCCCATGTGCACGAAGGCGCACACCGGGTAGAAGGCGCCGGTGCCGCACGCGTACACGTGCGTCCTGTTGTAGTGGTGCAGCGCTCGGACAAAGTTGGCGCATTCTCTCTGCGGCGGTCGCGGGGACGCAGGGAGGTGCGGAGACGCGCGGTTAGGCTCGTCGCCGCTGCGGGCAATGGAACTGCAGCGGCTGCGTCGCGAATAAACATCGATCAACGAGTCTCGAAAGAGCTCGAGCCTCTCGTAAATCACGTGACTTCTGCGTGGCCGCCCCACGCTCTGAATCTCTCCCCGCCCACTATGAAAACAGACGCTGCGGCGTCGAGGCCCTAATGTCGCCTCTTCCATCATGCCCTCGTGATTTCTGCTGACCCAATGGTCACCATTTTCTGGTTTCTTTTCCATCATTTTCCTCTTATGTCCCATTCTTTCTCTTCTCTCGTCAGATTCGCGTTCCTTTTTCTCTTTCCATTCATTGCATCCTTAATCCTACTCCTTTTCCCGTGGTTGCTCGTAATAATGCAATAATTGCTTATAATCCATAATTAACTTTTGGATCAGACCACGTATTTATCTGGAAAATGTTGTGTCAACACAGCCAAACAAACTAAATTGTCACACGCACAAGCGTTTAATATGCCTAGTTTTAATGTTTCAGCTCACCAATTGATTGAATAATAATTCTCACGACCAAATGTAGCATTTAGATCCGAGGTTTTGTTTGTAACTATATCAACCGTCATCAGGACAAATCCAGGAATTCAGAACAAAAATGTTACAAGTCAGAATAACTTCATTATTTACCCAGGAAAGCCACACTCATTTTCAGGAGGGTCCTGCGTTTGAATTTTTTCGCTGACATCGATTGCATTTTTTCTTGTTGTGGTTTTCACACCTGATGATTGCTTGTGTTGCAGTCGAAACGTCGTGAGAATTTTATTGTTTTATATTTTTTATTATTTTATTGTTTCCCTTCTACGTGACTTAATCGAAAGAACAAATAATATGAATCCGTGCAGTCACGAAAGCTTTAAATCAAAATTTGTTGTTACATTGTTTTGAAAATGCATTGCACTTTGAAAAAACTCGAAAAAAATGTTGAGCTACAGCGTAAGAGCCACAGCGACAGAGGCACGTAAAGCATAGTCCGACAAACCCTAGATGGATTTACGAGGTAAACGAGGCTCTTTCATGATATATATTTATATTGTTAAGCCTCTCAGGTCCATGCACCACCGATCGGCGTTACCAATTTCCGTCACCACACAAGGAGCTGCGCTCACATTTAACATCTCGCTTTGAAAAACGGTCGACGCCCTTGCACTTGGCAAATATCCCTCATATAGCCTGCAACAGACTGTTGGGGCAAGTGCTGTTAGCGAGCAGCACACGAGGGGGTGGGAGGCCAACACTATGCCCGGTCGCCTTTGTCTCCCCAGTGGCGATGTTTATACACCGCACCAGGTACAAATTTTGAGGCTGAGTCGACCTATGGGAGGCCCAGGACCGGTTCAGATATTCGTCACTTGTGTTGGCCATGAGCGGGTATCGAACCCAGGTCGCCGGGTTTACAGCGCAGCGCGCTAACCGCTACGGCGCTTGTGAATGCACACACACGCGCGTGCGTGCGTCTCACTCGTATAAACTTCCACCGGACACATTTGGGTTAAATTAATTTGCGTGTTTTTGGTTTTTAAAACGAGGAAGCCCTTCTGCTGAACACAACTATCCTATGAGTGGCTCTGAGAAGTTTACAAAGGGGGGGGGGGGCCCGCGACCCACTCTCGCTGCTTTCGCGTGAGCAGAACAAATGCGGCTTGCGGGCATGTCAGCCCCCATTTGTCTTTTATCGCGAAATAATTCTGCCCAAAAAAGCCATTGACTCGGCTTTCATTGTGTTTGGCGAGCGACGTATTCAACCGCTCTGTTGCGTTCATTCAGAAGGTCTCCTCTGCCAATATCGAAACGCCTTCCCAGCCGTTTTCATTTCACTTACATATCGGTGTAATTCCTTGCCGATCTCCGGTAAAAGCCACGTTATTGCTGTCAACAAAATCCGAGATTCTTCCCCCTGCCCCCACCGGCTTCGTTGTGACGCTCGGAGGCTTTAGGAACCGTCCCCCGATAAAGGCATGGACACGGCACACTCACCTGAGGATCTTTCCCCGTGAGCTTGCATATCTCCACCCTCTCCTTGGACGGCGGCCAATAGATCTGTCGGAGATAAGGCGCGGACGCAAGGATAAAGATCCCCCGGGTAGCCCGCCAGACGGCCGGGGGCAAGCCGCCGGATCCAGAAGCTTTAGCTGCGCTCACTTGATGAGTGCCTCCGACATGGCCACTGTGAACCTGCCGTGGGAGTTGAACCCAGCCACCATTGGCGAGCGGCTGTTAAGTCTCGCGTAGACCCGGTGTGGGTCGTGTGGTATAGTCACCGTCACACTTTTGTGTCCCTGGTGTTCGTTGCTACACAACGCACGAGCCACTGATTTTAAGGCTGAATCATCCTAGGGTAGGCATAGGACGGATTATAATATTACCTGCACTTAATGTTAGTCGTGACGGGGGACTCGGGTCGCCGGGGTTGGGTAGCCCAGTGCGCTAAACACAAACACTGCCGTTGCAACATACGCACGCGCGCGCCTATGTGCACGTGCACACATACCAGCGCGCGCGTGCACAGCGCTTGCACACCACCACCAGCCACTCACACGTGTCAACAGCCACAGAATAGTGGGGGGCTGAGTGGCAAAATCACGGGACTGCAAAAACAGCATTTTCAACGATTGCGCTGGAGGCAATAACACTCGGGCCGAGTTCGAATTGAGGTTGGACGGTTGACTCAGCCCATCCTCCCTCCCGGGGTGGATAAAATACGTGCTAATTTTTTCGGGAAGGCAACAGTGGCAAAAACGCAGACTTTAAACACTTCACCAAAGTTATAATGTACTTAAATGCTGACTCACGTGTTTATTATTACGAATGACTTTTTAAAAAAAATCACCACGCTCGTCGTCAAAGCACAGAGGAGAGACGTCGTGTGGACCGTTAAGAAGAGTAAGCGGACAAGTTCAAGACACATCGCTCCCAGGAACGATTGGCCAGGGGCTGAGACTTGCTACGGGATGAATGATAACATTTCCATGATTAGAACACATTCGCACACTTTCGGGTAGCCTACGCTCCGTTGCCTCTAAGAGTTTCCACATTGCAAAACAGCTCTTTCCAACTCGTCAGTTACAATTCTCTGGCGTGTTTTGGACAAGAATCGTTGCTTCGACAATCATCGGTGGTCGTGCGCTCACGGCCTCTTGTCACTCTCTAACGTTGCCATGAAGTGTTTTTTTTTTGTTCAACGCATCTTGAACCACAAAAGAACCCACACAGATTAATTCCACCTGACAGCTGCCCGATTTAACAGTGAGCAACAACAAACATAATAAATATATATTTTTTAAATAATGAAAACCAACAATCATTTCAAGTGGCGTTATTTATCTTACTTCGGGGGGGGGGGGGAGGACAGAGGATCTTCTTTTCTTTTGAGGTTTTTTTCTTCCTTTTTTATGGCCACAGGGGGATAGAAGAGTTGCGTTGGAGGGCAGAGGTTAAGTATTTGGTGAGCCCACGCTTTTTTTGCTACTTCTCTTTCGCAGACAGTTGTAAGGCGCTAAGAGACGCGGACCATTTTGACGCTCGTTCTTAACGTCACACGAAACAAAAAACGAAAAATCGAATTCAAGATTAAAACCTCCCTCCGGTCCGCGCGGAACAGAGAAACGTCGAGAGCCGGGTGAATGTTGATAGCGTGAAAAGTTTAAAAAGTAAGTATCCGTCTGACGGTTACGTTGGACTTCATGCAGGCGTGCACGCAGCCAGGCCGTACTCACACGTGTACCTCCAATTGTGTGTTTCCATTGCGCTTAGGGGCTCCGTGCGAGCGCCACGGCCAAGGTTGTGCGTACACACTGAGGCTCTTCGCTCATCTTCGACTCAAGTGGCTTCAACTCTGGTCTGTGTCCGCGACGATCTCTGCAGCGTAAAGCGGGCTTGGTGGTGGCGGTGTTATTGATTTGTTTGGTTTTATTTTACGCTGCCGCGTTTTGCCCGTCTTCGCAGCCGAGATGAAACACGCCGCTTTTTTGGGAACTGTCATCCATAGCTTAAGGCTTCTATTGCGCACGCAGGCACACACGACACACGCACATATGTGTATAGTGTGTGTGTGTCGTTTTTTCCTTGTCAATAAACTCTCGTAATTAGATTTTCTCTTTGAAGCGGTTTCAAAGTTAGAAGCTCCATGCAATGAACGTTCACTTAGCTCAGTTTAGCCTCGAATAGCCAACACCGACAAGTAAGAACATACTAAAACTCAAAGTAGTTTCCTGCTCAACTGAGAGCGGTGTGACACGCTCCTCTCCTGTTTACTACTCTGAACCAGTGGTGGAAATTCCACATGCCTATGGTTGGGGGTGGGCTAGTCTTTCCATAGGAAAATTACCGCCTGTCTTGCTTCCCGACAAAGTGGCACTCATTGTGCCAACAGCAAATTGGTGAAAAGTTGAGTCGACCCCTGACCTGGAGTTGAACTCACACACCTTCCGATTGGGCAGCATTGAAAAGAAAACCTTCGTCGTAATATTTGCCCTCTTTTCTTGGTTACTTACATAAAAAAAGCCTTCACCAATCCACACTGCCCGGCGTGGTGAAGTATGGTCAAACAATCCCCACTACCCAGCATAACTTGGGAGGCCTCCATTCATCAGTGGATTGACAATAGAGCTGTATATTGTAATAGTTATTTTCATGTTGATGGCACAGAAAACCCCAGAGTTGTCAACTAAACCACTTACAGCAATGTCACACATTGGACAAATGCATGAAAAGGAAGTGCAATTCCACGAATCATTTTTAAAAGGTTCAGTATTCAAGCCAAACTGTGACTCAAGCTCAGGGTTCAGGAAGAGGCATTCACTGGCAAACAAGACCCATTCACTAGTCAATCTCTGTAACGAGGACTGCCAGGCGAAACAACCACGGCGGAAGACACTTTACTGGGTCACACGCCCATGGAGGCACGCAGAGGGATCCCCCCTAAGGCCAAATTAGTCAGAAGACGACAGCGAAAATAAACAAGATAATGCCACAGTATGGGTTGCACGATCCCATTACAATGCTCTTAAGTGTTTTGCTGCGGAGTGACCTTCGGGGGAGAGTCCTTAAAAAGAAGGGCAAACAGAAGTTCATTAGCACAATGGTGATGGACTCGAAGCTGACTTCATCGGATGGCTTATGACAATTGCAAGAATCCAAACAAGATGGGATTTCAAACAGCTAATTGTAACGCGATTCCAATGCGACTCGGGCAGACTGTATTTCAAAGTACAGTGTGTTTCACAGTGTCCTGTTAGCGCCAAATGCTAAGTTACATATGACTGAATGTAATTGGCAAGTAACACCACTGAATATAATTATAACGCGTTCACATTAAAACTGGCCCGTGACCATTTCACTCGGAATGTGGCCAGCCTCGCGAGGTCTCGAAAAGCTGGGTACGGTTAAAACCTGAAGAGTGATTTGGAGTGGTGACCGTCGATGCAGAACAGGTTGTTACAGGCTGTAGGGCTTTCGTGGCAGGCGGCCGAGACGGCAGAAGCCCAGAAAAAAATCCATTGATGATACCAAACGGGACGACCCTGGCAAACATTGCCAACGTTGGCTCAACGTTGGCCAGACATTGGAATGAGGTTGGAACCGTTGGACCAACCTTGCTCCAACGTTGGCTCAACGTTGGGAATGAGGTTGGAACCGTTGGACCAACCTTGCCCCAGCGTTGGCCAGACGTTGGAATGTGGTTGGAACCGTTGGACCATCCTTGCCCCAACGTTGGCTCAACGTTAGAATGAGGGTGGAACCGTTGGACCATCCTTGCCCCAACGTTGGCCAGACGTTGGAATGTGGTTGAAACCGTTGGACCATCCTTGCCCCAACGTTGGCTCAACGTTAGAATGAGGGTGGAACCGTTGGACCATCCTTGCCCCAACGTTGCCCAGACGTTGGAATGTGGTTGGAACCGTTGGACCATCCTTGCCCCAACGTTGTCCAGACGTTGGAATGTGGTTGGAACCGTTGGACCATCCTTGCCCCAACGTTGGCCCAACGTTCGCCCGACGTTCTAAGATCACCGAGAACAAACCTTTCTGGGCTGGCGGTTGATGTTGTCCAGCTGGAGCAGCAGCAGGTAGTTGCGAGTGCCGACCAGGAGCCGGCCCCGGTCCTCGTCCAGCAGCAGAGTGCGGAAGTCCCACACATCGGCGGGCACGCTTAGGGTCACCGTGCTGTTGGTGGCCACCAGCTCTGGGGTCGCGTTTGTGCCGGCGTACGGGCGCACCACGCCGAGGGGAAGATACGCAACGTTTCAGACAGTGCTGCCGACGAGAGGCGGTCGACCTGAAAGAGTTCTTAACAAAAAGTCAATCGGCTCTCTCTCTCTCATCTCCACTCCCGCGTAATTGACTGTGGTGTGACACCGGAATCAATGTCTGATAGGATTGTTACAAATCACTCGTGACGAGCGATAGAAACCGAATTTTATCGTTAAACAGAATCAGTTTCTGCCTGGTCATTAAAAGAGCACGGGGTGGCACCCATCTCCTGTGTATAGCCCCTATGGTGAACATTTCTATAGCACGACGCCCGCCAATTTCCCAACAAAGTGATATTCACATTGATGAAGGGATGAAGGAATGAGTGGTGTAACCATCCGACCAGGACTTTTCAACTCACAACCTTCTGATTGCAAGCTGCATAACCCCACCACTGCACCGCTAAGCCAGATCAAATGATAACTTCCTATCGTTTTCAACGAATTTAATTTGTAATGTATTACATGTCTTTTTCGCCAATAATATTGCACTAGCGTAGATGTTTTCTATCCTATTATAAACTGTACATATATGCCTTTTTTTCTATATTTTCTTTTTTATAAGGCTCTACGGGTTGTTAGGGCTGAGCCTGGTTGGTGCTTGGATGGGTGACCACCGGTGCTTGCCAGGTGGTGTAAGCATGGAGATGCGAGGTCGCCAGGAAATGGCAGCATTGGGCGTTACGGCTGCGAAATCGTGTGGGGTTTTTATCTGGGTTCTCTGCTTTCCTGCCACGCGAAGCCAAACACTCGAATTGGAATTGGTCAAAACATTCCGAACGCAGGGACCTCTTGCAAAAACGAGTCCTGAATCTCGTTGAGATTTTGCTTTCCTGAACGACTGCCATCGTTATTATTAGTAGTGGTATTCGCGGTTCTGAAGAGTTACTGGATGGTGCGGTTAATATTATTAAAATTCAAGATAAAAGACTAAACAGAACTGAACAGCAGATGTGCAAAGCTGACGATCTCAAGCTTAGATTCTAGCCAAATACATTTATTTTTTAATATTTTCTACAGCTTGGAAGTTGGCACAGCAAAACGCTGTCTTGCCACTATGCATCGCTGTGCTGTTATTGATACAAGACACACGCATATTTCTCAATTTGGATGAGCGGAAAATATAGTTTTATAAGTCCTCGCCCACATAAGGGGAAAACTATGCACCGACTGGACACAATTGGGCTCCCATTAATTTAATTAAAATGTTTCGATTATGACAACAGAACGACGATAATCTGCGCATCAATTCTTTTTTTTTATCTGCATCACAGTTATTTGTTTTAGCTCTGCTGCCAGTCCGTGGTTAGATTCCCGTTTGATGTGCATTGCGTGTCACGGTGTTCGTGGTTCACACGGTGGCCTTGACATCCAGAGGTCGCCGGCTCGATCTGACCTCCCGGCGCGGCGGTCAGAACGGTGGGAAAAATAAAATAAAAAATCTGCCCCGTTTTTACGTCCACGCAGCAGCGTAAAATGGGTAGGCCACAATTAGTCGATGTCGAGTCGTGTGCAGTCGGGGTAAGGTGTGGGCACTCGCACCTCCTGCACAACATTTGGGCCAGCGTGAAAGAGAGAAGGCCAAAATTCCCTTTGAAGGAACCCTCTGCAAGTTCCGACGATGGCACGATCAAGACATTGCAGAGCTGCGCCTTTGTCTTATTCAGGTTGCGTGCGCTGTTAAATGTGGGCCACTCATATTAACTCACTAGCGCTATTGCACTTTTTTTGTTTTACCCCACAGCCCTCTGCGTATTAAACCTGGATAAATACCGTAATTAATATATAATGGGCTGCTCAGATTTTCCAAAGAGGCCATGTCCGGTGTGGCCGATGAAGTTAATGGGAATCACATGGAAGCGTATCAATCATTCCATTAGCTGTGGTGGCCACACCTAAATGTGGGGCAAATCTGTGCGATTTGGATGGCAACAAAAAAAACCGCCGAGTAATCAAAACTCGAGCCGAAGCCACGACGCTATTTCTTTCTTTCAGTCATGGCACTCCTGCGCGCAACGTCAATGCTTCGACGCAGATGTGGGTGCACATGTTTGAAGCTCACCGCGGTACGAGAGCTTGAGGCGGGGCACGGGCGATCGCTGGTCCGTGCTGCCGGCGGCGGGCAGGGCCAGGGCCAGGACGAGCGCCAGGCAGGCGGTCGGCCACGCCGAACCAAAGCGAGGGCCCATCTCGCACGGCCGCCGCTGCACGCTGACCCCCCCCCCCCGACGAAGCCTCTGGCAGACCGGCGCGACCTTCCGACGGCTGACGGGGACCCCCCCCCCCCCGCCCCCCGCCCCCTGAGATGCACACAGCGGCCACGATGGAGCGTTTCACTACGACGCCGCGATCGAGCCGCAGCTGGGCTCAATCCGATCCATGCCGTCGTCAAATCATTAGATCGAATGTTCGTCGGTGGAATTCTCCGATCCGTGTTCGTCGTTTAATGAACACGCAACGGAAAAAAGAAAGTAACTCTGCTGCAAGACACGAATTGTTGTTAACGGTGTTAAAATAAAGATTTAAAAAAAGAAAATGCAACAGAGGATGAGGCACATGAGTGGAAAACACAGCAGGATATGTATACCTGAGGCAGTTATTAAAGGATGATTGAGCTGAAAAAAAAGACATTAAAATAAAGAGGGCGGATGAGAGCGGTTTGCAACGCTTTTGGAAATGTCAACCCAATAATGAACAGCAACGCAGCAATCTGCCTAAAGAAGAATGCCTTTAAACAGCAGTGCGTATTACTTGCGGTTGACTTACGGAGAGGAGACGTGGCCATCGACAAAGGAAAAGTTTAAGTAAAACCTGAAAATTGTGCAAAGAAATGCAGTGAGTTGCGTGCTTCGTGTTTGCACCGAGAGGCAAGGCAGGAAGGGGAAGCCCAATGAATGGGAGAACGAGGAGGACTTGGAGACATGCTACGAAAAGTCGTGACACTCGGTGAAGCCTGCTCGCGTAAATAATTGGTGGTTGTTATTATTATTAAATTGGTCTTGAATCCGCAAAACTAATAACAATGTAAAGGAAATAAATCTGAAAATACGAAATTGTTTCTGCCACTGGGAAGGAAGGCAAGGTTATGATATTTTTGCTGACTGGCCATGAAAGAATATAATTCGTACGGAAATATTATTTTATAAAAACGGAAGACTGACTGATTGATTGCCTTTATTTAAACCCAGTAAGAAACAACTCATCGAAGCTGATCCTTTATTTTTCTTGGCACAAAGTCATAATAAAATACATCAAAGAGCAAAAACCAAACACAGCCCAGAGCCAATTTTAAGAAACGTTTAATACTGACCATAGGGCTCTGTCTTATATTCATACGTAAGTACAGGATACAGAGCAACAGTTACATAAACCACACATTTCGATACAACAGCTGCTAAAGTTACCGTTCTTATTTCACTCCTGACCATTTTCATCTTTAACACCGAGCCAATTCAGCTTAGCAGTGGTCATTTGGTTCGTCGCTAACCGGTACAATGGGGTTTGAGATAAATAGCAAAATCAAATCACTTTTACAGTTGGACAATTATGACCCTGGGCAGCCTGACATCAGTTTGAAGCCTTCCATTAATGAGAACGTGGACTTTAAAGTTAGTCAAGTGTGCCGTTGTGGAACTTTAGTGACATCACAGTGACGTCCAAGGCTGTTCGGTTTAATATGCTAGTGCAGTGACGTCACTAGAGGCCTATTACTCAGTGCCTGAATATGATTAACGTGTGTTGTACAGCCAGAGACACAGCAAAGATAACGCCAGTTATTTCCATCTTCCTTGACGCAGTTACATTCTATGTGTTCTGCGTGGTATCAGTGCCCGTGTTCAGATGCGAGCGATCGACAGCGAGAAAATAGAAACGTTAATGATTAAGTTAGCATTTTACGATAATTGGAGTTTGTCCATAACCCAATAGCTACTTAAAAAGTGTAACCATTCATATGCCAATATGAAAACTGGCTCATCAGAAACCACTTTTAAAAATAGAATTCACAACAGGGCGCACGGTCGAACGTGCCATCCCCAACTTTTACTGTCCGCGAAGAAGGGCCATTCCCTGAAACATTACCTATCATATATTCTTTTATTTAAAGATCACAGCGTTGTTGACGAATGTGTTGAGTTTTCTGTTTCGTGTATTTATACACGATTGCCAACGTAGCAGCGTCACAAAATAATTAAACTGAGGCAATACTCTTTGGTTATTTCGGTAAAGTCACGTAGGTAGAAAGAACCCAAGAGTATGGATTCCTGCAGTCACGAAAGCTTCAAATTAAATTGAGGCAATGTTACATGTGTAAACTACACAGAGAGCAACAAGATAGAAACATTACATCACGTGCGAATGTGTCGCATATAATCGGTGGTCTTATCGGACCAACAAACATCTGATACCAGATAAATAACAACACCCAAGACAGAGGTTCTCATTCATTAGCTAACTGGTATAAAATGTTGGTCCTATTCAGAATAAAATCAGGATGATTAGACCTAAGTCAAAATAACAATCTTATTTGAATCCACAAGTCGGGGCGAATACATTCACACACTCTCAACAAATATAAACACGGGAGAAAAATCGATCGGAAAAAAAAGTAACGTACATTAAAAATGATAAGTTTCGTCTGATTCGTGAAAATGTCATGATTACATTATCGTGGGGTGGGCTAAGAGGGCGACATGGGGTAAGAGGCCATTTTGTTCCTGTGGTCACGTGTGGTTTGTCCGTTGAGTGACGGTAACCAGCGACAGTGGCCTGCAGAGGAGGGCACCTATCTGCACCTCAACCTGAGTGTGGCTGATGACATCATTTCTGTCAACACCAGGACAACAAAGGCATTTAACCCCCACGTTAGGTATCTTGCCCCTACCCCTAGTAACGGTGGGGGGGGGAGCTTTTTTGACATTTGTTTCAGCGCTGGGTCACAAGCCAATTGCTTAATGCCCAATGAAACAAAAAGATGATCGTGGGGAAAATAAGGTTTACGTCTTAAGCCTCACCGAACGCTTATAATCGCACGCGCAGCTATGTTACGACGTGCGTTACGTTAGTTATGCGAGCAGCTTACTCGATTTACCCAGGGCACTGCACTTTAAAAGAAAGAGCTCGCCTTCAACCGTTGAATTTATCTTGTTTTGTTCACGCCACATTTAAAACCTCGCAACCTAAGATGCGCTTTTGTCGTGCATTGCAATGTAACGTACAGGCCCTTTGTAAATCCGCTGCTGTGTGAAGACCTCATCAAGCCCTGTTGGTCATAAGGGGGTTGTTTAGCCCATACCTCACGTTGGTCAGTGTTCATTAAAACTATACAAACTAAACTATATATTTTTTTCATTTTACCAGGTAAGGCCCACTGAGCTATATAGCTTGTTTTCAGAAGCGACCTGGCCACAAATGATAGCTCAACGAATTGGCTTATCACGTGGAAATTAATAGTAGCAGCCAATTACTCTAAACGGGTGTTTCTAAATATGGAGGGAAAAACTGGAGGATCCGGAAAAAACCCCAAGCGAACACGGGGAGAGAGACTCGCAAACTCCAAATATACAGGGGTCAGGGTGGGGATGGAACCCACGCTCTCCTTCATACCAGGCGATGGCATTAACATCTCACCACCGTGGCGTTGGTGGAATGGACTGGTTTAGATATCAATCGCCACTAATGTCAGCCGTAGATGCAAATCGAACACTGGTCGCCTGGTTCATAGCACAGGGCACTAACCGCTCTGTTTATGTATATGTTGAACTTCTTTCGCACCGTATGTAGCCAACCGCGCAAATCGGTGGTGCGTGGTAAGGACAACAAACTGAACGCAAGTAGCAGTTCTAAAGAAATAAATTCATGTAGATAATGAGAGCAGTGAGTGGAAACAAACTTTCTCCAATAAATAAAACAAAATCAAGTCCCAAATGTATGCCATAAATATGATTATTTTGGAAACTACAGGGTCTGATAATACTGTGGTCATAGTCTGCCGAAATAACCAGGCTGAGCCGTGCCTCATCTTGTGCTTTGTTTGAGAATATGGCAGAAACAATGTCGATCTTTTGAGAAATGGGGTGATGTGCATGAAAAGGTCGGTGTGGTTCGGTCATGTGGAGAAATAACAGGAACTTTATGTGGATCAGAAGGTGCAAGTGTTGCAAGTGGAATGAAAGAGATCAAGAGGAAGGCAGAAGGGGAAGAGGTGGGGGGCGATGCAGTGCGATCAGACCACGGTGACCAGAGGAGCGGAAAGACAGATGGCGCAGGACAGGGCAGCGTGAAGAAGGTTGGCAAGGACAGCGGAGCACCCCACATGAGTGGGACAACCGCGTGGAAGAAGAAGAAGATGATGATGTGCATGACAGTGCACCAAGCACACTGCACGTGCGATCGTTGAATTGTTGGGGAACGCTTCGACGGGACATTCACTGTTGCCGGCTGAAGCGGCAAATCGAATGCTGGTGGCCGGGGTACATAGCACAGGGCGCTAACCGCTCTGCCACCACTCCTTCCCCCGTATCGTGTGTTGAAAATTAACGCTCGATTTGAAGAATGTTCCTTCAGCCACGATTCGTGACGAATATGGAACTGCCCAGAAACTATCCTACAATTTAAGTGTGTTCCTCTTAGCGATTGGCATTCCGTGATGAATTGTTTGTAAATCCTTTTGATCATTGTTTCTACCTCATTTAGTTCATATACCCCTTTTTGCTACGTGTTAATTTTTCACATATGCCGAAGGAATTTTTGCTTTGCTCGTGATATTAGCACCGCTCATGGCCCTTTTAGTTTTATTTTCAATGTCGCACAATTGGGTTTTGCCATCCCAGGTTTCCCCATGAAAATGTTGCCAATTATGCTCCCCACTTTGCTCGAAATAATGGAAACGAACGAACGGATGAATAAGCACCTGTCGATGACCACTCGCTTCTCTCTCTCTTCTCAGCATCCGTGTTAGGCATTAGAATGATGTATGTATGTTTGAACTTCTTTCGCACTATAACACACAACCAGTGCCACAAGAGACTTGAATGTGGCACTGAATGCTTTGCTTGTTCGACTACTGTACATGCTGAGAGAAAAAAAACTGTATCCGTTAGATCTGTAACAATCCACCCTCAGCGAATCAATGACTTGTCATGATTGTGGGCCATGTTTCGACTCAAGAATCAACTATTTTGTTTTTATTTTAGAGTATTTGGCTGCTCGAAATGTCCATGTGATAAGCCACTTCGTTGAGATATCATTTGTGGCCAGGTCGCTTCTGAAAAAAGAGCTGTATAGCTCAGTGGGC